TGCCTAAACTCATATTACTAAACCATTTGACTACCGCCAAGTGTGAAACCATAGAACTGCCGTTTCTCTAAATAGGAAAATATCGCTGGAACATTTCGGCCCATACAAAAAATTGATTCTCTCGTCACGTTTTTGTAAAACGGAGAAATTGACGTGCTAACTATGCAAAACCTGTACGGGTTCTTTTTTTCTAAGCGACGCGATAGGACTTACAAGGGATCCTACACTACATAGAAATAAGTCCTTGCAATCCTTACTGCTAAGGTTTCGTGAGGAAGTACAAAGCAGTTTAATGTACAATACACGCAAGACTTGTAAGTCTTCGACTTTACAGTTCCCCTATGATAGGTTGTTGAATACAAAGAAAAAGAGCCAACTCAAATATTTTCTTTAAAAGGGATTTTCTTATTATTATATTATAACAATAGAAATAAATTACTGGCGAAGAAAATTACGGCTAATGACTAACTATATCGGCGATAATCTTTTTTAAAGTCATTTTCCTTAATGATATCCTTAAATGAAACTTGCCTGCCACATGTGCACATTGCGATGGCAACCTCCTGATAATTAATTGTAGATAAGGTATTGCAGTTGAGGACCACATGGACCACAACCCCTGTGTTTTTTCATCCATCAGCATCACGGCAGATTCAGCCATCCTCGGCAGGCTACGCTCAACGTTAGCCGCTGAAGAGTCATCGCTTTCGCTAAGCCAACCACAAACTCCAACACTTTTATCCTTATTCTTAGGTGACATCACAAACATATTTTTACCTTTTCTCGCAGATTTCAATCATCACGCCCTTGATAACCCTTTTCAAAACTGTGGTAAACATTCTTTGTCCTAAATTCGCTCTAATGGCCCATATCCACCATTCCCTTAGACCCCCTTTGGAACGCTAACATACTAAACAATCGCAGACTCCAACTGGAAACACTAATCTACGACAAATGTATTGCTTGAATTACCGAAACTCACTTTATTGACAGGTGTCAATTTTACATAACCGCCTATACAACCTACAGAACAAATCACTCAGACTGTCTGCCCACGGTGGAACCGTTGTACTCATTCGCACATCAATTTCTCATTTCTTAATCCCTTAAACTCCAATTAATAGACCACCGCCAATCATATACAACCTTCCTCTACGGATAAGATAATTAATCACTCGTAAACGTCGCGCCAGAAGCCTTTGGCAGCACACCAGATACCCATCCCATAAGACAATACCCAACCAACTAACGAGACAACTCAAGTTAGAACTAAACAAGTATTACAATGACCAGTATTTCACGAACACCCAAACACTTAGCGCAAAGAACAACTCTCTCTGGACAGCAACTATTCTTCCACCCAATTCAACGCACTGACGGCACTTGAAGAAAAAACCGACGAGGAGAAAGCTCAATTTATGTCTCAACACCTCATTGGATGGTGGCCGTGTTCATATCTATCATGCCAGAAATGTAAATGTGCATACAATATTGTGTATTTGCTTGTGTTTATCTTTATAAATACACAATTTTTGCTTGTTACATTTTGCATGCAGTTGTAAAATAAATAAAATACAAAAGTAAAACAAGCAAACAACTAATTCAATGTCATATTTCTTTTCGAAATGTTTTTGTTTTGATATACGTCGACTCCTTTTTAAAGGGCTAAAAGGTTTAGGCAATATTTCCCAATTTAGGCGAATCGATTGTAGACAGATTTGAGTGGACCTTTCATCGTAAAAAGGTGGACAACGTTTTCCAGGTAACTACAGTGTAAAAATAAAGCTCACCGGGACGATTTTTGCTTTGGCAACAACGTTGGTAAGTAAGAACAAAGCATATTGTTAGCTGTTAAAAATGGCTCGTGATTGTCAACATGAAACAATTCTCCGAAGAATATTTGCAAAATTAGAAATGTGACACATATGTCAACTTTAATCGTTTCAATCTAAATAGAAGGGAGTCATTTTGTCATTCAAAAAATTTTACTTCCTTTCTTTCCATATGCGAATAAATGGCAGTTTTAACACGAATGCTGTAAAGCATTGAGAAAATTAATTGGCCAATAAATACATATTCATGTGAAAACGTTAAACCCCTGGTTTAATCCATCCAGGCTAGTGTGCCAAAAGGGTGCGACTCATTTGCAAAAAGGTGAAGTTAAATTTAAAGAATTCAACCCCCCCCCCCGAACTTATCAAACTAACTGTCAGCGTATAAAGTTGGACATTTATTAGTCCAAAATTTAATCTCAGAAAAATGTAATTAAATTAATTAAAAATCAACTTTTAACAAAAATTTCCTCAATTCATATGCATTTATGAGTTGTCTTAATTTTCTCAAAGTTGTTTTAAAAATAGTTGGCCTTAAAAATAAGTGTTATTTTGCTTTTAATTGTGAGTTTTCAGGTTTTGATTATTTTTATACTAATAATATACAATTGAATAAATAATGTGTGAATATGTAAATAATTAAAATATAAAAAATTATATAAAAAATCAAAAAAAATTCCTAACAATTCGAAACTTAAAAGAAAATTATATAAATTACAAAAATAAAGTTTAAAAAAAAGTGATGACAACGCACATAACCGATATTATATTGATAAATAGAACAGTTGCGCAGGTAATAGTAAGAAGCAGTGGGATATATTGAACGAAATTACGAACAGAAAACAGAATAAATCTAAAGTGATTGAAGTTGAAGATAATGACCTAATTATAAACAATCCTGCGGAGGTTTATAATTTCTTTAGCTTTATGGAAACTGTTAGTAACATACGTAAAAGCGTAGGTTTCAATAGTGCAAATCCCTGCAGTAGAGTAATAGCCCTAAATCCTTCTTTATGCGTCCCACTTATGATCGAAGTTTATAGAACTATTTTAACTTTGAAAAAAAAAAAAAAAGACATATCAGAAATAAAGAAAATTACAGATCCATTGCGCTCCCGTCTATGTATGCAAAAGTCTTTTAAAAAGTAATTAAAACTTTTGAGTAAAAAATAATATTATAAATAGTAGTAAGCAATTTGCGTTCCAAAAAGAAATGAGTATTTAAAATGCACTTGGGTGCACAAAATACTGATTATAGAGAACAAATTAATAAATAGAATAGAAACAGGGGTAAAACGAATGAAAAGATTCCGATTTACATTTTTCCGACCCGGTTAGGATGAAGGCATGTGCAGACAGACATGACCTCTCAGAAAACCACTCAAGCCAAGTTATTTCCATGTGTAATTATGGAACAAACATACCAATAATGTATTATGATTGAGTTCATATTAAAAATTTTGCTGAAATTGTTAACTTTTTACTTATTTCCGCTTACAGTTTCATCGTTGAATTCATGCACTTATGTTTTTGGCCGTGATCTTTTTAAGCTACATTTTAATTTTATATGTAATTTGTAAAGAAGTACGCAAAAAATATTGATTTTAGACGATTAAAAATTAATAAATTGAGTAGAAACAGGGGTAAAAAGATTGAAAAGATTCCTATTTACATTTTTCTGACCCGGTCAAGAAGAAGCCATGTGCACACATGAACTCTCAGAAAACCACTCAATCCTTGTTATTTCCACTTGTAATATTAGAACAAACATGCCAATAATGTATTATGAATGAGTTCAGATTACAAATTTATGCTGAAATTGTTAACTTTTGACATATTTCTACTTACAGTTTCATAACTTCAGGATGCGGTCGAATTGATGATGCATTGCTTACTGGCAAAGTTTGTCGCACGAGTAGCCTAACACCCTGTATAATATGAGTGATATATCAAGTACGTTCAGGAAAGACTTCAACACGCCATTGTGATACCTAATATATAATTATGTATTATGATTGAGTTCAGACGACAAAATTAAGAGGAAATTGTGAACTTTTCACTTATTTCCACTTACAGTTTCATCGTTGAATTCATGCACTTATGTTCTTGGCAGTGATCTTTTTAACCTACATCTTAATTTTAAATGTAATTTGTAAAGAAATATTTAAAAAATATTGATTTTAGAGGATTAAAAATTAATAAATTGAATAGAAACAAGGGTAAAATGACTGAAAAGATTCCGATTTACATTTTTCTGAACCGGTCAAAATGAAGGCATGGGCAGACATGACCTCTCAGAAAACCACTCAATTCTAGTTATTTTCATTTTTAATTTGAGAACAAACATGACAATAATGTATTAAAATTGAGTTCAGATTACAAAATTAAGCACAAATAGCGAACTTTTAACTCATTTCCACTTACAGTTTCATCGTATAATTCATTCACTCATGTTTTTGGCCGTCATCATTTTAACCACCATCTTAATTTTATATGTAATTTGTAAAGAAGTATGCAAAATATATTGATTATAGACGATTACAAATTAATGAATTGAGTAGAAACAAGGATAAAACAATTGAAAAGATTCCTATTTACATTTTTCTGACCCGGCCAAGATGAAGGCATGTGCAGACATGACCACTCACAAAACCACTCAATTCTAATTATTTCCATTTGTAATTTCAGGACAAACATACCAATAATGTATTATGATTGAGTTCGGATTAAAAATTTATGGTGAAATTGTTAACTTTTGACTTATTTCCACTTATAGTTTCATCGTGAATTCATGCACTTATGGTTTTGGCCGAGATCTTTTTCACCACCATTTCAATTTTACATGTAATGTTTTAAAGAAGTATGCCAAAAATATTGATTATAGACGAGTAAAAATTAATAAATTGAGTAGAAACAAGGGTAAAACGATTGAAAAGATTCTTATTTTCATTTTTCTGACCCGGCCAAGATAAAGGCATGTGCAGACAAGACCTCTTAGAAAACCATTCAATCCTAGTTATTTCCATTTGTAATTTTAGAACAAACATGCCAATAATGTATTCTTATTGTTTAGATTAAAAATTCATGCTGAAATTGTTAACTTTTGACATATTTCTACTTACAGTTTTATAACTGCAAGATGCAGTCGAATTGAAGATGCACTACTTAGGTTTTTGGCGGTCTTGTGGCGTAACCTCCCTCACGCATGCGTGATCTTTTTAACCTTCCATTCTTTTTATCAAAAATGACCCTCTTATCATTTTAACTTTGCAATGTTTGTTATAATAATATTTCAAAAACACAAAAAGGTATGGTGAAGTTTTGATCGTATGGCCGTCTGTAAAAGACTCCTAGTAAAGAGGCTCCCGACCAAGGTACGTTTTGTCCAATTGAATTGTGAACTAGTCAAGAATATTACGGTTATCCAGGCCTTGGCTGTCAGGAGGGTGAGCTCGACTCAAAGGGAAAAAGAAGGCCTTATGATGATGAACCAGGACCTTGTCGGACCTCCTAATCCAATATCGAACATCAGGCCGATTACGTTTCACGTACCCAAGAACGAAACGACAGTCGAGAAAGAGCTCAGATTGAGACGGCAGAAAGTTCAGGCCTGGCACGAAGACTTCTGGACTAAGCACAACACCGCTTTCATCAAGGTCCGACTCATAAGTTTCATATTGATCTATTTGAAATAACATTCTTTCTGTTTAGGAGAGGAAGGCTTTCGAGGAGTCACACTCCTTGAAAGGTGCTTCTCTCGGCGCAGACGAGATGTCCATCTTCTACAAGCAATTCCTTGATAAATATTGGCATAAACACCTCGCCTACAACTACGAATGGTACAAACACAATTTCGCTCTGCTCAGGCTTTCTTTCAAAGTTGAAGTTGAACGGTTCGTCTCGAAATTGTTCAATAGATGATCACCTTTTAATGGTCAACGCTGTAAAGTTTTAAATGTATTATACTACTATTATTAGTAAAATTAAATAATTTAAAAACGTTCTTTTCATTAACACCTTATAGCATACGGTGAAGTCCTTATTAAAAATGTACCTGCCTCACTACGGCAATGGAAACAGTACTTGGCTTTCCATCCTTTCATATTTATACATAAAATGTGGCTTTTCAGTGTCAGCAGACTTGAGATATAAGGAAATAATTTAAGGAAGAGCCACCACAAAATTCTCAAAATAATTTTTAAAAATGAGATGGCTATAATGGTATCTGACAAAATGAGAAAGCTCAACTTTGACAGACCCTTCCAAATGGACGAAGATAATAAAGACCTTTGGAAGGTTTCAAGAACAGTAAAGTGGTCTAGATAGACAGAAAATGGAACAGGAGAAGGCGTAGGGATAAAAGGGTCAAATTAAACCCGTGCAAAGCCCATTGTACTAACCCCAACAATTTTCAAGCTGAAGTCCACGCAATATGACTGTATACAGGAGTTTAAAAAATGGAAAGTGTACAGATATACATACTCTCAGGCGCCATAAAGGCACTAAATGCATATTCTTTCAACTCCAAACTTGTTTGGAAGTGCCTAAATTGAATAATGGCTCAAAAAATACCACAAGCTTACCTTAAAGTGGGTTCTGGCTCATGAACGTATAGAAAACATCACCTAGATAAAAAAAAATAGGCAACCCTCTGGAAATAATGTTCACATTTGTTATTCCAGCTTCCATGGTTGTTTAATAACCACAATTCCCAAAGCCATTATTCCTCGCTGATCGCTATGTGGACGCACCGCCAACTCAATCTTTTATATTTTATGGATCCCAGTACTTTGCAGTCCATGAATCACTTGCTTTTCTTTCTTTTTTTTCATCAAAAAAATTTTATACAACCTTAGTATAACTGGATAACAAATTTACTTTTTATGTCACAAACTTCACCGACACAACACACAAAATTTTGTTGCTAATTTTATAGTCACCGGGATTTTTAGATTAAATCTTGTTTGTCTATACTATATATCCATTACAAAAATTAAATTTCTGAGGAAATGAAAATTTATATTGAACGATACAAAGTACAAACAACTCTGCTGATATCCAATAAGCACCTCAGATTACAAATTCAAAGCAGCAACTAAAATGCCATTAATTGATTATTATAATTGAATCCAGGACTTCTACATGCCTAGCAATTTCAACGACTTTCAATATAATACAATTGTTGTTATTGTTCTTGGGCTAGAAACAATTTTTTAACGACCATTTTTCTCATTACCTGGGAGTATGTGAGGTTAAGGTTAGGTTAGGTTACATATTCATAATTCAATGTTTTATGCGAGTACGAAAGTGTTATGACTGAAATATTTTTCATTGGGCATAAGGGTTTTTAAATAATTATTTACTTTTTACTATTAAGAAAGATTTTTTTAAATATATACAATAAAGATAAATATTATCACAGACATGAATATTACTTTTTCCCCTTATTTATCTTATATCTGTCATAATTAACAAGAAAGTTCCTTCAAGCGGGTGAGATTTATGTGATTTATTCTGACCAAATGATCGTTCGAGCAGGAGGCTAAACATAATTCATCCCCGTTGTCCGCTTTTGGCCTAAAACGAATCCTTGTCACTGTCAGCGTATGCAACTTGTCGAATGAGAAAAGGATGACCAGCCTGTCATTTCCTTCGGGCGTGAACATAATCAGATCTATCGTCCCGTTTTCACAGCCGCAGGCCATCAAATATTTATTCGATCCTGAAACATTATAATATTTTAATTACAAAGGCAAAATTGTATGAGTATGATCTAGTACCGAAGGTTTCAGCTGGGGCAAAATCGACTGTGGTGACCGACTGTTCATTCGGGTGTCGGAGTGATCCAACCGGCTCGCCCGTATTCGTCCATGTACATAACAAATTGTCCCTAGAGCACGAGCCGAAATATAAAGAATCAAACGTCCACGAACAATCCCAGATTATCCTCGAATGATGGCCCTTAGGGATTGTCGCTTTTAAGACAAATTCTTCATCTGAAATAAATATAAATTTAAATTTAGGGGACCGAGTCAGACTCACTCGAAGACCCTGCAGACTCTCCTGTAATGTTCTTTTACAGGAAATTTCCATTCCCAAAAAATACAATTTAATCAACATTACATTCAGTGGCTAATATTGAAAAACAAATCCACAAAAAAAAATAAAATAAAAATTGTTTCCTAAGTCAGCAACAAATCATTTTGATTTATTATTATACCTTGTTTTTCAAATAAGCACCAAGTCCTGTCTCTTGACACCGAGACAAGTTTCTTATCGTCTGGAGAAAATGACATTTTCGTCACAGTCAAATTATGCCCTTCAAGCACCTGGCGTTTCTCCCAGCTTTCTGTGTCCCTAATTTTTTTCACATAACACTGCTTTACCTATTTATTTAATTATTTATTAATTTAAAAAATACCAAAGAATTATTGCAGCATCTTTTTTATTAGTTGCTTTACAAGCAGAGGCAAGAAGTTTTCCATCGTTTGTAGAAGTAAGTGCATAAACTTGGTTTCCATGACCATACAGTTTCATAACTTCTGGCCATAACGTATTCTGAACTAATGTCTCTTCTGTAGGAGGTTCTAGAAAAAAAAAGTATGAAAAGAAACAATTTATTTTAGAATTTTGTTTGATAAATGAAAAACCTGTAAGCAACTGTGGGGTGAAAGTTTGCTCTTCGCTTTTATCTGCTGGATCTTCGCCAGTATAAACAGCTTTGTTTGAAAGCCCTAAGGCAGGAACCGATGCCCCTGTCGGTCTTACATCGCCGCCTTCACAGCATTAAAGATACATTGAGTTCTTTATTTTAGAAATAATAACAAATACTTTACCAGCAAGGAGACTATCTTCTAGTTGGAATTCGCAGAGTTTGTTCAAATTTTGCAAAACATTGTTTGGCATTTTGAACACCCTGGCGACCTTCTCATCTGCTGCAGAGACGAAAGTGAAGTTTGGGAGCGCAGTGATGGCGTTTATCAGATACCCATGGATCTGCGGTCTGCTCATTTCATGCCAGGATCTCCCACACGGCACATTTTCCATGTGCTTTTTCCAAACCGCATGAAGCCGAGTTGTCTCGTCGAGACTAGTCGATAATAAATAACGTCCTTCTCTCTCCCAAGCGATGTCTACTACACCTGCTCTGTGTCCACTCATAGCTACATCCGGCTCCCATTTATCCTTACAATTTTAAATTCAAAATTATACAACTCGTTTTTTATTACAAAAATAAATGTTTAATGCCCTCCCCCACAATGGAAAGTATCCTGTGACCCTGGAGAGAGGAGAGAAAGCCACGTCAGGACTGATGTTGGTAATACAAAAACGAGAGTTGGTTTTGTACAAGAAATTGTTAACTTATAAATAAACAAAGATTAAAAAAAAAAAGAAAAATAGAGTAAATCTTACAAAGGCATGGAGCGCCGGAGGAGAGGATGAAGGGAACGATAAGAGAACAACAGCAGACAAGTTGAGTCAGGCAGGCGTGAGGATCAAGTGATCAGGATGAGTTGCAGAAGGTGATTTGTGGTTGCCATGAGGCTAATTTTCCCACGGTTTGGGGCAAATCAGGAGGTACAATATGATGCAAGGAGAAAGGACATCAGCAGTGCATCGGGTTTTCCTCTTTATGTGTAGCTGATGCCATCCTGGAGCAAGGAATCAGGATGGATACCTGGAAGAGGATTCCATTGGGCGAGGAAAAAGGCTCTTTAGGAAAACTGTTGGATGAACATCGTGACCGTAGCAGCTTCCAGAAAATAAGTTTTGTGTGTTCAACTCAGACGAGAATCTTGTTTAGTGGTTTTTTTTCTTGTTAGTAAATAGTGCAGAGTGCATATTTATTTTAGTTTATTTTTATTTATTTATTTCTTATTTTTTTTGTTAACCGCAATCATTAGTTTTATTTTATTTTATTAGCTTTTAAGAGGATATGATAATTTTGCTGGACTGTGTTTTAATAATGTTATTTTTGTTGTATAATTCAAGACTGTTTTATTTATTTATTTTTATTGAACACAAAACCAACCCTCCATGTGGTCTCCAGGGATTTCAGCATAAACTGAGGTCATTAAGTTTTGGCTTTCCTCCATTCTCCTATGCTGGGGACTTTTATTATTTACTTATTTTATTTTTTTTTTTTTAATTATCCATCATAGGTTCCTTCCTCTTTATTTTTGCGTTATATTTGTTAAAAATAGAACAATTGTCACCCCACTGTTTATTTTTTAAATTTATGTTCAGTGGGTATTTTTTTTATTTATTTAATTTTTTTACCCACTTCCATTTCTACTGAGTGATGGCATAATTTTGTCAGCAATTTAGAGCCGTAACAATCTATATTATGAAAATTGTTAAAATATAATTACAGATTTTTTTTTCCATTTGTGAAACGCTGAATGATGGGTGTAGGCTAAGATGCTGTCACTTTTCGGGCCGTACTTTGCACCAAGAAAACCAAGACTGTCCCCGCCCATTACTCCGAGGCGAACTTTTTCAAGCCAGACGCCTGTTTCTGGATCTGGGCTCCACTCAATTATCGAACGATCCAGCGAACAAGACATTAGGCATAATTCATTGCCATCTTCAAAAATTTATTGGTTATTTCTTACCTTTACAATGTTCTAAAATTTATTTACCTTGCCTGGATGCCCATTGGAGACCAGAGATCCGATCTTCATGCCCATAGAGTATTGACTCAAGAGTTATTTGTATTTTTTTGCCTGAGATTTCAATCAGGGTGGGCTTAACGCTGAGCCTATCTGTTTCTTTGTCTTCAACGTGTTCAGAAAACTTCCACAGCCTTATTGTACAGTCTTGAGACCCTGTTGCGAGAAGAGCCTCTCCATTTGCTAAAACCACACAATTTCATGTTTCCTTTTATTCTGAATTATTGAATTAACCAATTTTTTAATTTTTACTTAATGTAATGAAGTCCATATCCCTGATCCAATCATCATGTCCAATTAGGGTGGTCAGATTTGTAACATTCGTATCAACTGCATACAAAACGATTTTTCCAGACTTCTCATCGAGGGATAAGCTTAAAATAGGAGTTGTGCAATTCGGCAAAAGGGCAATACTCGCGCAGAAACAAAACCCCCTGTCTTTTACCTCAATTGTATCAAGCACCTGAAAATTTGCTGAAGCAAGGAAAATAAAATTTATAAAAACTTGGTTTTGATGTCAAGAAAAAAATTAATTACTCGAATTGCAATCCCTTTTCCATATCAGGACAGTGGAGTCTGCAGATGCTGTGACGACAAGTGTATCTTCGCCAAATTGACCACATGCTAAAGCATTGATGGAATCTTTGTGACCCACGAGGACTGAACTTTGGGCAAAACCGTCCACTGTTTTGCGCCATACAATGACCGTTTTGTCTGTGGAACCGGATACAAGTTCAGTCTCCTCGGTGCCATCAAAACGCCTGACCCAGGAAAGGCAGTTAATCCGTTCTGTATGTCCCACTAACGTATCAACGATCCTCCCTCCTTTGACCTTGAACAATAAAGCCAGTCACTAATGACTTTTTTTGTTTTAGGGCTGGCAAATTACGCTGGTCATCTTTAGCTTTGCATTTCTTTTCTTGTCTTTCTCACGTTTTAATCCATCTAATTTCTTTTTCTGTTACTCAAGCTGAGTAACAATATTTTATGGTAACCAATTCCCCCTTTTCTTTGTCCTACTGCTACCCTCTCTGTACTTCAGAGCCTCGTCAATTGTGGATTTATGTAATAACACAAATATACAGAAACAAGACAAAAACATGGTCTGGTTAACATTTACACTACCCAAGGGTACTCAATATTGCTCAGGGTAATTGGGGATATGCCTTTGATTCATGCTAATAAATGACATTCGCAATCCAGACTACATTCATACTACCCCAAAGAACTTGATATTTCTTGGGATAATTGGGAATTCTTGGAATTCCTCAAGGTGATTGGGGATATGCCCTTCCATTCACGCTAATAAATTACATCACACACCAGACTACATTCACACTACCCCAAATTACTCAATATTCCTTGGGGAAATTGGGGATAAGCTACCTTTCACGCTAATAAATTACAACCACACTACTCCAGAGAACTTGATATTCCTCAGGTTAAGTGGGGATAGCCCTTCCATTTACGCTAAAAAATTACATTCACACATCAGATTTCATTCACACTACCCCAGAGTACTCAATATGCCTTGGAGAAATTGGGGATAAGCAACCTTTCACGCTAATAAATTACATTCACACACCAGATTTCATCCACACTACCCCAGAGTACTTGGTATTCTTCAAGGTGATTGGGGATCCCCTCATTAGCACGTAAGATATTTGTAAGGTGTGACCCTCACGTCATATCCCGACCAGGCACCTCCCCGTAGTCTATCCTGGGCACGGCTGCAGCCGTGGCTAACGCCTGGTGACGTGAGGGTTGGGCCTTCAGGGGTGTATGGTTGCAAGGCCATCCTGTGTAAGTCCGGAAACGGACATAAGAACTGGCAGCCTTAGACCTTTGAAGGTGATTGGGGATATGCCCTTCCATCCACGCTAATAAATTACATCACACACCAGACTACATTCACACTACCCCAAATTACTCAATATTCCTTGGGGAAATTGGGGATAAGCTACATTTTCCACTAATAAATTATATTCACACTACCCCAGAGTACTTGATATTCCTCAGGGTGTTGAGTCTCGCTCTTCATACGAGTAAGAAATAAATTCCACTTCCCATCATATAACTGTACTGTTATAACAACTATCAATAGTCTATTACCATAAACATTATAGAAATTCTTCAGCTTTCTTTATTCATATGTCATTTATGCTGAACCAGCGCTGGCCACTTGTCAGGTGAGTCTTACTCGCGGGTTTGTTGAAGTACTTATGTGCATTTCAGAATTGCACCATTTTGAGTGAGGAACTCTTTCTTATTCAGTTCCTCACTTTAGATGGTGCCATGCCGAAACGCGTTTGAGTACTTCAATAAACCTGTGGGTGAAGACGGAGCCAAAACCCAGCGCCGGTTCAGCATGAATTCGACTCGCAGACCTACATCTAGCATCAGTCAATTATGTCGCCAATAAAGACAGATTGGTTGTATTTTTACCAAAATTAAGGGAAAAAGGTCAAAATAGGCAGGCGTCCCAGGCAAACATACACAAAAAAGTCATCCCAGTACTGCACTACGTGCAGAATTGTCACACAAGGCGAGTTTTTATCATTTTAGTCATTACGAATTTCTGACTTTCGACGGATTTTTATCAAAAATCTCCAGTACCTGGGGTTCGTAGACGAGGACGGAACGGGAAGCTCCGTAGCAGAGGAGGCCGTTGGACGACCAATCCATGCAGCCAGGTACAGGATTGCATCCCGCCGAGACGTACTCGTTCACGAGGAAATCTCCCGAACTGCACAGTCCTGACATAATAATTAATTATTTTTTAAATAGGAAAACTGGTCTTATTTACAAGTCGAACACGGATAGAGTAGAGCTACAGAGAGGTTACGCTATGGTTCAAACGTCAACACGTGGTTAAGCCCTATTAAAAAACAACTCCAGTTAATTAACATTCACAAGAAACAAAAATACATATTTAAAATAAACATTTCAATACGATTCTATTTAATAAAAACATCTTTTAAGAAACTCTTTTTTTTATACAAGTAATATAAATAAATAATAATTAAGCAAGGACGTAACCTTCCTGCTTGTTACACTCGTTTAGTGCTTGCTGCTTAAAACTTTTAAATAACATATAACTATGGAATCGTCAAGTCAGACGAAGCAGCTTCAGATTAGATTTATAACGAAACAGGAACAGTGAGTAATTATTTATGATTTAATAAAAATAAAAAAAACAGTACAGAAGTATGAATCTTGTTAATTTATCGTACTGTTTAATTTATCATGGCATTAGGACTGCTAGTAGAGTTTATGTTTGATTTGAACAATTTGTCAGCTATTCAGGGTCAAAAAAAGTGGGTATCCTCAATAGATTTAATCAATTGGATTGTAATAATACTCGTTTAAATCATTTTTGTATGCTTTGATGTCACTGTGGTTCCCACAGCTGTACTATGATGGTTAAGGTTAATTCTTTGTAGGATTGTCACCAAACTAGTTCTTTAAAAAAGTCTGATTCGATGTTGCCATTGTACTACAAGTGCGTTATTGTTTTTTTGGCGAATGCGCAGCATAACTGTCACTGTACAGTGCGCTCTACCCTCAGTGGTTGCGAAAAGTCACAAGTGGTTACTTTGATAAGACTCTGATGATAAAACTAGAAGACATGGGACAGCTCGGTTAAATTTTGCATTAAACAACATAAGTCAGCGATTTCATGTGTTATCAGCATTCAAATGGCTAAGTATATTTAGAACAGGATTCCTATCTTCCTAGTATAATGGTTTCAACAAATCCCATAAAATACTTGTAGGGTTTACATAAAAATGATGGTGCTTGACAATTTGTACGAATTAATTTTTTCTTAAGATTTATGAAATTATTCATCAAGTCTTGACAAATATTTTGTGTTTTATTTTTTAGTTTTAAATCTTATTCTTAGCCTTAAAATCTTCTGAAATCTACCAATAAAAATCAGTATGCATTACAGCTACTTACAATGAAATATTTCACGCAACCCATTTACCTTTAAACTCCCGAATACCTCGGTTAAATTTTGCATTAAACAACATAAATCAGCGATTTCATGTTTCATCAGTGATCAAATGGCTAAATGTATTCAGAGGAGGATTCATATCTTCCTGGTGTAATGTTTTGGCAAATCCCGTAAACTACTTGTAGGGTTTGCATAAAAACTATGGCGCTTGTCAATTCATATGAATTAATTTTTCCTTAAGGCTTGTAAAATTATTCATCAAGTCTGACAAATATTTTCTGTTCCACATTTTTTTAGTTTTAAATCTTAATCTTAGTTCTAAACTCCTCTGAAATCTTCAAAAAAAATTAGTATACATTACATGAACCACGTCCAAATTTAACACTAAGCATACATAAAAACTAACCGCTTGGCCAAATCATCCAACTTCCAATGAATTCAATCCTTTCAGTCTAAAGTTCTCCGCCGTATCCTCAACGGTCCCTTCTAAACGATCCATTAAGATCTTAAAAATCCATTCATGAAAAATCTTATTCGAACACACTTCCTCAATTTCCACCCTTAACTATTCCTCCACCCTAACTCTTTCCTCAGCATCTCACCTTACGATCCTTCACCCCGTTTAAAATGACGATAGCTTCGTGACCTTCTATCTAAACAAATTTAACTCACTCGATTAAATAAAAAAGAGTTCCAGCACAGGTTGGTTTCTCTCCATACTGTCTTCTGGTTTGACAGATCTGCTAGATTTGTATGTAACTATACTATGTATTCAATCCATATTATCTATAGATAGCAATAAATAATTACTCTTAAACAAGAAATTTTAATCAGCACTACATGCTAATAAATTGGTATATTTTTTTTCTGGTTTGTCTATCTAAATGAAAGATAGAAAATTTAATAATCATTTTAAATATTTGTTGTATACAATTAAAAATTAATGTATTAATTTGATACTTTTCATAATTGTATGTCTGCCATACTGTACTAACTAACAGTTTGGTCATTATTGACTAAGTTAATTAATATTATATAAATGTATACTTATTGTCATGAAATTTATTTTTGTAATATATTTCAGGTATTCCGTTGCAGATACACCTTTTGCTGTTCCTGCCACAATATCGGTTGTTGAATTGAATAATCTAGTAAATCACCTTCTTAAAGGTAAATATTAAAGAAAATTCTACTTGTAAATCACAAATTTTACAATCACATTTACCTATTATTTTTATTTTTCAAGAGAGCAATGTCATCGAAGGCAAGGATGTCAATTTTGACTTTATCGCCGCAAGCGAATTTGTACGTTCGCCATTGGGCGAACACTTGGAAACCAGGGGCCATTCAACGGAAGTTGTCGTCGACATTGAATACCTTGAAAGATTGCCTGCACCCCAACCACAAGACTGCCTCCTACACGATGATTGGGTCTCTTCAGCCCATACATCGAAAAAATGGTAACAACCTCTTTACAATACCTTTTTTTTCCCCCTATCGGGTGGTAAAATCAATCCATAACATTTTTTGATGGTAAATTCAATGAAAATTTCAGGTATTTGTAAGCAAAGTTAATCTTTTTTTTCCATTGCTCTTTTTCCCCCAGATAAACATAAGTTTATTTGTTATTGATTTTCTCCATTTTTAGAGTTTTGCAAAGCTTAAATTAGTAAAAACTTGAAGGGGCAATGTCAGGAAAAAAAAGGGGGGGTGAGTGGATAACAATCCTATTGAAATTAACCTGCTGGTCATTTTAGTCGATTACTGACTTGAATCACAACGATTCTGTTCAGTATACACTGAAATTAATAGTTGGGTTGGGTGGAAGAAATAAAGCACCCTTTTCCCATTCCACCAAAAGCATAACATTACCTTCTTGGAACGTAATCCAGCTTTTAGAGTTCTCACTGCATTTTCTCCAGAATTTTCTCTCTAAACGTTGTGGATGGGACCACATTTCATCCCCAGTTAACAATCTTTTTAAAAATGCATCGTTTTCATTTATTCAACGTTTGAGGAACCCAGATATCTCTCCACCAAACATATCCAATTGTTCTTAGATGCATTGTATGAAATATATTAAGTGTTGTCTCTGGGATGTCTTGTGAATTGAGTGTGGGTTTTTTTGTGAGAAAAGCTTGGATTGAGAATTCTATTGTGCCAGTTTGTTCAAATTTTTATTCATGAGAAGTTAACTAAAAACGGAATCAAATTTTGGACTCTTGTTTATTACTTTCATGTTCTTACTTGCCTAATTTATTTGTACTTTTTTAAGTAATCAAAAATGTTTCACATTCGTAATATTCTTCAAGTATGCAGAATAAAATTTAAACCATTTTACCACAGAGATATGATTTGGATAAATATCTGGTCACCATGGTCATAAGTGATAACAAAAAAAAAATATATATATGCATTTACATAACAATACAGGCTCTATTTAAAATAAAATATTGTGTAGCAAATTACATTCATACTACCCCAGAGTTCTCAATGTTCCTTAGGGTAATTGGGGATAAGGACCTTTCACGTTAATAAATTACATTCACACTACCCCAGAGAACTTGATATTTCTTGGGGTAATTGGGGATATGCCCATCCAGTCATGCTAATAAATTACATTCACACACCAGACTAAATTCACACTACCCCAGAGTACTCAATATTCTTCAGGGTAATTAGGGATATGCCCTTCCATTCACACTAATAAATTACATTCACTAATTTCGTGGTCCGCTTGACCATTTAAATCATTATAATTAATTAAGGTTTTTAGTTGAGATGAAAAAAAGCTAATGGCACGAGAGGGATTCGAACCCACGACCTTCGACTAGATACGCCGCTGCTCTACTACCTGAGCTATCGTGACCTCGATCCGTTCGGACATCAACTCCCCATCTCAACCACACCTTATGAGTTTTCCCTCCTTTTGCCATTTTTCAATGTCCATGATGTCCGAGCGGATCGAGGTCATGATAGCTTAGGTGGTAGAGCAGTGGCGTATCTAGCCGAAGCTCGTGGGTTCGAATCCCTTTCGTGCCATTAGCTTTTTTCATCTCAACTAAAAACCTTAATTAATTGTACTAATAAATTACATTCACACTACCCCAGAGAACTCGATATTCCTTGGGGTATTGGGGATATACCCATCCATTCATGCTAATAAATTACATTCACACACCAGCTCACAGCTCTCTCGAAGCAGAATGTTCTTTACACACCAGTGCTTCCAGCGCTTCTTAAGGTCATAGGCTCCTATTTCTCTGCCCATTCCTGCTAGCAGCACATCTGCTAAAGAAGCATAGCGTTTTTGACTTCACCTCCGTGGCTATGGTCTTTATTTTGGACATTTCATGGAGGCACTCAATCTGGTCAATCTTGAACAGGAGGTGACAAACCTCAAAAACTTATAACATGTTGAGGTTTGTCCGGCATGTGATGCTCCAAGCAGGGCGCGCATACAGAAGCATGGGCTTAACAAGGCTGCTGTAGAGGAACTTTTCGCTAAAAACACTCTTCATGAAGTCCCATGATAGTAGAGGAAACAGCAGCCTGATTGCAGTTTTTCCGTGGTTTACTCTACTGCCACATGCCTCGTGAACATCGGGCTGCTATCCATTGTTAAAGCCACATATTTTACCTAGCCTGAACAGGGAATGCTATTTCCTACTGCCACGACATGGTTGATTATTGCAGTTTTGCTTTTGGTGAAGAGAGCATGGCTTCTATGTGGGCGAAGTTGATTTTAAGTTTACATTTTAGCAAAAGCGAGAAATTTTTCTAATTTTGGTACTGAGCCTTCATGTTACTGTGCTTGGCCTCCATGAAGGTCATCAGCATAGAGAGCCATCCTGTATGACTTGGGCATAGGTAGGGCATTGAGATACAGGTTAAACAGAATAGGGGCCAGGATTGACCCTTGTGTGACTCCAGCCATGATTTTGTAAGGAGATGAGAAGGCCTTGTTGTACGATACTCTAAACATTCTGTCTTTTAGATACAAGTATATGAGTCTTATTTGATAACATGTGAAGTTATATTTCAAGAGCCTGTATATGAGCTTAAGCTAGACTGCATAAAAAGTCTTTTCGAGGTTTAACAGGGCCATCTCAGTGTATTTCTTTTTGTTGAAGCCATCCTTTATTATATCCACCACTTGAGAAAGCTGGCCCTCAATATTAAGCTTGGGACAGAAACTAAATTGTTCCTCCTTCATTATACCAGACTTTGCAATATGTTCTTCCAGGCGGGATAGGAGCTGTCATTTGAAGATTTTGCTTATGTTCTCAGTAAGCTGATTGGTCTGTAGCATGAGGGGGTGCCTTGTGGTTTCCCAGCTTTCTTCAAGAAAATGGCTTTAGATGTCTTCCAGCAGGTGGGAAAGTGTCCAAGTATAAACATTTGATTATAAATGCATGTTAGGAGAACTGAGGTTTTGAGTAGAATGTTGGGAACTCCATCATGGCCTGGAGCCTTTTTATTTCTCCTTTCATTTATGACCCTGGCTATTTCATTAGACGAGATGAGGAGGCAGTCCTCAGTCTTGACTGAGGCATTTTTGATATACTGACTGTCAGAATGCTGTACATGTTGGTCGTAAACCAAAACTTAATGTGGTTTCATGTACCGATTTAAAGTAGCAGTCCATTGCTTCAACTTTTTCTGCTTCTGTTGTGCTGATGTTTCCATTGTAACTAGTGGGAATAGAGTTAGTCTCCTTTTGGGCTTTGAAGTGTTTTACAGCTTTCGATAGGGAGCCATTTAGCATTTTTTGGACAATGATTGATTCCTGGACAAGAGTTTTTTAAAATAAGGTGTCCTGTATTTTTTATATAAACTGCGCATTTTGTTTTTTTAATCTTGACGTTTTCCACACCATCGGGAAAATGCATTTTAGGACCTGTAATGATATTTTTGGGCACACTTTCTTCAGCACTGTTTAAGACCATATTAGCAAAGAGGGAACATATCTTTCTAGGTCATTGATGGTAGAGATGTCTGGGCTAAAAACACATATGGATTAATATAATAATTACAGAAGTACTTAATTCGTTAACAGCTCCCTGTGGCCATAAGTAACTTGAAAATTGAATCTTGATTACATGATATTTGAAAATGTGGCAAAAAGAGAGATAATTCGAAAGGTTGTAGGTTAAGTAGTTGGTGTCCGAGTGGATTGAAGTCACGATAGCTTAAGTGGTTAGAGCAGTAGCGTTTTGAACCGAAGGTCGTGGGTTCGAATCCCGCTTGTGACAGCTAGCTTTTTCATCTCAACCAAGACCCTAGATAAAAAGTATATTCAATTAAAATAATTAATACGGTCAATTATAACTACTAAATACACATATTGATTAATACAATGTTTAATGTTTTAGGATCGTATCTGGATGCTATGACAATACCGTGCACTTATGGTCTATAGAAGGCACTCATATCATGACGATTCCTGGTCATACTGGAGCGGTAAAAGCTGTCAGCTGGATATCCCAGTCAGAAGATGATGCAACTTTCCTAAGGTAAGTGTCAAGATATCCAAACAAAATATAATAGGGTTTTTTCTCTCTCTCTCTCTCTCTCTCTCTCTCTCTCTCTCTCCCTCTCTCTCTCTCTCTCCCTCTCTCTCTCGGATGTTTGAGGGTTGACAAACCTATAGGTTGCTAAAGCTTTTGTACTGACCCCTCCCCTAGAAATAATATCCAATAAACAGTTTCTTAAATTATAAATTCAATGTGACAAGAATATTCTCTTTTATTGATTATTTTTATTATTCTCAAATGCTGAAATTCTTTCGGCCTTTGGGGTGATGAACTGTAATTTGATTCTTACCAATCATCTGCCTACGGATAGACCATCCTAGCAAAGCCAAACTAAGATAATCAGTTAAACATCAATATTACAGTTGAATCCAGGACTTCTACAATCTCAGTGACTTTCAATATAATATAATTTTAACATGAATTTGTTTTTCTGCTATATGCACTATTTTTTATGTGAGTATTTTTGCGTAACTGGGGTGTGCGCATAGGTTGGGTTTGGTTAGGTAGGGATAAGATTGAATTTAGGCCTCTTTCAAACTAAACAGATAATTGATTCAACTAGTTGAACGGATGGGTGATGGTGTGTAGCCAGGTAGCAAAGGATTAAGAACCACCTGAACCCCTGCACTTTTGCCAGATGGGTGGCAAAGCAGGCATTCTCATCCCCACTGGTTGACTTAATATAAAATAAACATTCGTGCTTCACACCTGTCACCTAGTTAAGTCGGCTGAGTTACAGTGACAAAATTAAAAGGAGTGAAGCTTAGAGAGAAGTGGCATGGCAATAGAGCTTGTTTCGACATTTTGTAACAACAACCCACACATTTCTTCGACTGGGTTTCCTCAGTTTTTGTTTCTCTTCTAGCAGAAGAGCAAGCACAAGCAGTGTTCTTACATCACACTGACGGGAAGAGAAGTTGATTTCATAAATTCCTAGTGTGACACCAGCCAAGAAAGAGTCTTCAAATGGCAGTCAACCAGGCAAATTAGTTAAATCAGTCAAACCACCTTGCCTGAAAGAGCCCTTAGGGTTAGGTCAAATACCCAAATAGCAATATTTTGAAATATTTTTCATTTGTTTTTAAATTATTGTTTACTTTTTCTTTTTTTTTTTTTTTTTTACTCCTATTTTGCTGTTCCTTATATTTTTCCAAATAATTTAATTAAATAATGTTAGTTTCTTTTTTTGTTCCCAGCGGTTCACATGATCAGACAGTTCTTTTGTGGCAATGGAAAAGCGCAAAAAATGAAATTGAATGTATACGTGTTTGTAAAGGCCATTCAAAATCAATCGAGTGCATCGGAGTGAGCCCTGACAAGACGAGGTTCGCCTCAGGCTCATGGGACAACATGTTGAAAATATGGTCCACTTGTAAGAAAACTTAATCCTTGTAATTTTGAATAAATCAAATATTTGATCTTTCATATTTCCAGCAATGGATGACGATGACGATGAGCCGACGGTGAAAAGAAAACCAGGGAAGATGGCAAATGTCAAGGTAATCTTATATACCTTATATATCTTATAATAATAACCTTATTATTGCAATTGGGAATTTTAATGTTTCAAATTTATTTTGTTTTTAGACACCATTGGTGACACTAAAAGGCCATAAAGAGGCGGTTTCAGGTCTTAGCTGGAAAGACAACACAGAAATGGCCACATGCTCGTGGGACCATACCATTAGAATATGGGATACAGAAATGTCGTCTTCCATTCAAGAGGTATATTTTCAATTTTTTTAAAAATATTTTATATTAAATAATTTAAAAACTGTATTTTTTAGATGGCAGGAACGAAAGCTTTTTTCGACGTCGATTGGAGCCAACTTAACCATCTTTTAATTACAGCTAGTTCTGATAAAAATATCAAACTTTATGATCCCAGATCAAAAGGTACGATTTATCTTCTTTTTTTTCCATAATAAAATTTTGAAAGGAAAAATCCAAATTTGTAGAGGGCCAAGTATGTAAAACAACATTTACTTCTCACCGCGACTGGGTCATGAGCGTTAGATGGTCCAAGACGAAGGAACATCTTTTCATTTCATCTTCGAATGACAAAACCGTCAAACTCTGGGATACGAGAAGGTATTAAATTTACAATACAAATATAGAAATCATTCTACCCGTTTTTCCCTTACTTTTTCAGCTCTCAAGTTCCAATGTTCGACATGACAGGGCACAGCGACAAAGTGCTGTCTTGTGATTGGTCTCAGCCAGAATTAGTCGTCTCAGGTGGAGCTGATAATACTTTGAGGATATTCAAAGTGTCGAATGAAATCTAAAGTTAATGTTTTTTTCTAAATAAATATTTTATCCTTTTTAGTTCAATAGGTTTTTCTTTTCCTTCCTCCTTCAATATTCTTTACCTGAACCAATTATCCCGATCACAGTAATATTAGGTTATTATTTATTGTGTTTATCAACTAACTTTTTTTAGTGATACTGGATTGAAAAATATAAAACACGTCCAAGCATTCTTGTGCCTAGAAGCTGAGAAAAAGTTTTTTTTTTTTTTAATATGCTAGCCTTTTTTGTACTTGTATTAAATAAATAAATTTTCAAAGTTATTATTTAACGGTAGATTTGTATTTTTACATGGAATAAGATAGGTGGCATGGGTGCCCACAACAGTTTAGGGTTGACTCAGTGCTCATCGTAAGGTAAAGGTTCCGAGTTCAAATCCATCGGCCATGCATTTGAACCCGACATACTTGCAAATGTGCTTTTTTTCCAAAAACACCGAAGGTTGAGATGATCTCTGCTGTTGCAAACCTCATAATTTTTTTTGCCAATATTTTGTGTTGCACTTAAAAATGGATAACTCCTTTGAGTTTTATCCAAAATCAATGTTATTATAAAAGTTTAAAAGGAAAATATTTTTGCTTTCAGGCTAAGTAAACAATGTTTAGGCTTATGCCATTAAAAGAGAAAAATAAGAATGTAATCAACAAAAACTCAAATGTTTTATTTTTTATTTCTGATACTATTTTATTTACAGAGGCAACATTTGTTAAAGGTATGTGTACTTTATGCGCTTCTAAATCCAGTAATGTTTCCTTGGATCGGTTTCAAAGTTATCACCATTTTTGTGATTTTCAGAAAGGCAAAAAATTGTGAAAAAATTCTTTTGAAACAACTATGCAGGGGTGACCCTTGGACGCAGGGGTTGACTTTCTTTTGCAATAAAACCAGCGCCCGAGACTAAAGGACACACTTACATCAAGGTACTCCTTTTTTTTTCTAATATTTAGTCTTACAATCTTGTGCACCATGACCAATATTGGTCTATTGTGCAACCTCTATTATTATCTAGTTCTCTTCGTTAAAGTTAAGCCTTTTTATGAGGTTCTAAGTCAAAGTTTCCCGTGTGTATCCTTCAGGCCTGAGCTTTTTCTCTCCCAGGACCAGATGCATAAGCTTTGCGTCAATGTTGGACATGTTCTGCTGTTTCTTCTACCTGGCAATATCTGCATAGGCCGCTGTTTCTGCAGCTCCAAATCAGCAGTCCTACTATCATTCTAATCCTAACATGTCCTAGGTTTAGTAGTTCTGCTGTTAGTTTTTGCAATGTTCCTTGAATGCACTTTTTCACATCCTCTCCCCTGGGATTCGTTCTCATTGTCTAATGGATTTACATTTTTGGATGATGCAAAAGGGTCCGGGGCCGATAGGTGTCCTGATCAGATTTTGCTTCCTTGTCGCCCCTCTGGCCTGTATGCCCTGGTACCCAAACAAAGGTAATTTTGTTATCTCCAATGTCTAACAGGGCCTTGATGCACACCCAACAGCTTCTGGGCTTTACTATTGATGTCAGTTGCCTTTAGTGACAACTGGCTGTCCAAGAAGATATTCTTTTGTTGGTGGTATGCAGCCTTTTACTGCGAATCCTAATAGGATTCCTAACATGACACTGCAAATTAAATGGACACTTAAAGAAAATTGGAGCAATTGATGATGGCACATGCAGATTCTGCAAGGAGGCAGAAGAGACACCAACACATTTACTAACAAACTGCAGAGCTACACTAGCCCGCAGGAGGAAATGTTTTGCGATGTATAATGAGACCATAGAAGAGCTTGAACCACTGAAACTGGGCCTATTAATCAAGTTTCTTGATGAAATATGACTCACCGATGTGCTTTACGCTGAGCATGGGGGATAAAATAGCTCTTAAAGGGCGCAGTATACTATACCCTGAAATTACATCTATATCTACCTGCTAATGTTCATGAACCACAGACACCATCAGAAAAACAGTGGCTTATTGTCCCAAGGCTTATATGAATTTTAGTACTTGATTTATTTTCATAGATAGAAGCTCCTGACTAATACTCATTCTTAGAGGCATTTGCATACCAGATATAGTACCTATCAGTATTACTTGAGATTTCTTTCTCCCAGTCTGCTCTTGTAAATTCTTATCAAACCTGTGTTTTGGGGTCATGGTATCAATATATAAAAAACTTTGGTTGCCTGAAGTTCCTCTCAAAGCTTTAATTGTTCCTTTTTAAACAGGTAGGCTATTGGAGCCTGTGAATGTGAATTTGTATCCCTGTATTGGTCCTTCTCCTTGGTCCGCCCGGGCACATGCCTTGGACAAGTTACAGTTTCTTTATATTCAAAGTATGAAATGCATTTTAGAACTTTCCCTATGTGGAAAAAACTTGGGTATGGATTTAAAAAAATAAAACCTCATGTTATAAATTAACAGAACGATAAATTAAATATATTTACAAATTATTCATGTTATGACAAAATTAGTTTTAGACAGGTTACAAACTAACATTAAAAAGGGATCAGTACTTACAACTTATTATGTTTTGACTACAATTATTATAAAATACAACAAACACTAAAGATAACGCATTTGTACAATAAAATTTAAAATTCCTTCCACTCTAATTCTATCATCGTCATCTAGAAAAAGCCCCAAAAAATTAAATAAATAGGATTTTGTACAGTTTACGCACGACGCCTAGCTAGTTTTAAATGTTAAAACTAGTATAGTAAATTTTATAATACAAAATATTTTGAAATATTTATAAATACATTTGACAGGAAGACTTGTAAACGACATTATTGTATTCTTTATTAATCATCTATTCGCATTTCTTGTCAGAATGGAGTGAAATTTGTTCTGTGCTGATATAAAAATCATAGAAATAAATAATTTTCAGTCATTATTCAAGTACACTAAATTGTACAAAGAATTTTTGTTCATTTTAAGTTTCTAAAACCTAATTGTAAAATATTATTTTTAAGTAACAGCAACTTAAATATTTATTAAAGCATAAACAAATTATTAAGAAAGCTTTGTCGAATTGCATTTGAAACGACTCGTTAATTTCAAGTTAATGTATTTTTATGAGAGGTAATTATTATAAGGTATTCCCTTAATTATACTGTATTCACAAAACCAAGGCACTATTCATACACTGGACGTTTTTTTTACCCTAGAGGAATAAATAACCTTTAATGACTATTATTAATTTTTAGTATTTTATCCATTATTTTAGTATAAAAAATATAACATTGGCTCTAGTTTATTATATCAATTCACGTTCAACTGAAGTTATAAAAAGTCCCGAGAGCTACTTCTTTGCATGTCTTCGAATCAAGAATAATCCTATATACTTGCAAGGGCAGACATACAAAAATAAATATTGCAGTATTATTTATGAAAATAATCAGTCTTGGAACTTTTTACATCGACAGGCATAATTTTTTTAACAATTTACTTTTGTCAATTTATTTATTTACATGACTTTGATACTTTAAAACAAATGTCTTCAGTAAAGTATCATAGAAAAATAATTTATTTACATTAGAGAAAAAGAAAAAGCACCATGATTTCAGCTTTATTGCAGCTTTTTTGTTTTCATATTTTTTTAAAATGGCTTACAGGGCCTCGTCTCCGTTATAGTGGCCGTTTCGGTTCAAAGGCTGTTTTTCAGGGGCGTTAGAAGGCCTGTTTCTCTTGAAGAAACCACACTAAAACCACAAAAATTATAATCAAAACTATACAATAATAACAAAAACTTACCTTGTACAATGCGTATACAAGCAGCATAAGTATGAGCGTTCCGGCACAGGATGAGAGTACGACAACCCAGAGAGGAATGACGTTCGTCTCTGAAGCTGGTTGAGATGGAATTATTCTTGAAATCGTTTCAGCCGAGCCTGCCGGCGTCGTTTCCGCAAGCGGACGGCCGATATGAGGCAGATTTGTCACTCTCGCCATAGCTTGTGAACTTACGAGAAATTTAATATTGGACGTTACCTAAAATAAATTGCATTAATAATAAATACATATTTTTTTGCTGTTTGTATGAATACCTTTTTAAGAGTAGGGTTCCATACACGAGATCTAAATGAAACTGTGGCTTCATCGTCTTTTTTAAAAGCACCCAAAGTGCAGTATACTTTAATGCACTTCACTGAATGGCAATCGAAAGAATCATAAAAGTTATCTACCTCCCTCCTTGTCCTTACATATTGTGTAAAAGTTCTGTCTTTGTCATTGGAAATATGCTTCGCTTGATAGAAACCACCGTGTCCAGAGCTATCGCCGTCAGCGGTACCAGATGTTGATGAATAACTTTTGCTCCATTCTTGATAAGATCGCCCTCCACCTTGAGTGTTAGCTCCTTCCCGGTGAGTATGGGCAGATTCATGACGGGATCCAGAAGAAGAGGAATAAGACCTTGATCCATGACTTTCTCCAGAAAGATCACGATTCAAATCCTCCCCTGAAGAACTTCTATGAGACTCAGAATGATAACTTCCTCCTTCATTGGCCCTTCTTGAACTCTCTCCTACTCTTTCTCTCATATATGTCCTATTACCTGACTGGTCATCGGAGTAATGCCTTCTCCTTGAATCACTGTCGGCAGAGCTATAATGGACTCGTCTGGAGCCAGTTCGGCCAGAACCAGAACCGCTATTTTCTACCCCAAGGTCTAACGTGTACGTTCTTGCTACACCATCACTAGGTCCTGCGGCTATGTCACCGAAGCCATTGAATCTAGAGTTGCTTTTATCATTTAATCCTAATCGAGTGACTGAAGGCGTAAAAACATAGGTTCCTTCAGTTTCTGAATTAAAGCTGGAACCGGTTTCTTTTTCCTCTTCACCATGATACGTCGTTTCTGAACCACCAGCTGATCCTGAACCTCTTCCTGCCCCAACAACACGAGTACCCGTTCCCGTTCTTCCTACCTCACTTTCCCAATTATGTCCATGGCCATGTCCACTCGAATGATGACCTTCGTAAGTACGTCTTTCACCTTCAGTTGTATGACCTGAGGAACCGGAAACACTCCATTTTTCATCTCTTTCTCCTTGACCAACAGAACTAAAATTATTTCTATTGTGGTGCCTCCGTTCACCCAAAACTCCAGACGATCCCCTGCCTACAACATCAACATGACTAGTTGTTCTTCCTGTTTCAGTTTCTGAAGATGTGACCCGATGAGTGACTTTTTCTTCTTTTGATAATGTTCCACTACTATGAGTTCTTCCTGCAGTAACACGGGACTCCCCGGCATTATCGAATGATGGAGCATGTCCTTCATAAACGTCTGAAGAACCTCCTGAAGTTTCTTTTCCGTTAACATTTTCTTTCCAGAGTGTTGTTGTGTGGGTTACTGGTTTTTTGTCTGAACCCCAAGTCGTGTTATAATTTTTTTCCCATTCTTTTGAATATGTTCCGCTAGTGTGGGTTCTACCTGCAGCCCCATGGGACTCACTGGCATTGTCAAGTTTTGGAGCATACCCTTCGAAAACATCTGAAGAGCCTCCTGAAGTTTCTTTTCCATTTACGTTTTCTTTCCAACTTGTCGACGTGTGTGTTACAGGTTTTCTGTCTGAACCCCAAGTAGTGTTATAACTCTTTTCCCATTCTTTAGAATACGTTCCACTTCCTGATGTACCAACAGTGTTTTGATCGATACCGACTCCATGTCTTGAGCCGTTCCTTTCATAACTGTGCCCACTTGAACGATGATCTTCATGGTATTTACCACCTCCACTTACATGACTTGAAGTACTTCCTCCATGTCTTTCTTCATCGACATGTGTTGCACTTCCACCAGTGTGTCTACCGCCTTCACCGAGATAAGTTGTACTCGTGTGGCTTCCTCCAGTATGTCTACCACCTTCACCGAGATAAGTTGTACTCGTGTGGCTTCCTCCAGTATGTCTACCACCTTCACCGAGATAAGTTGTACTCGTGTGGCTTCCTCCAGTCTGTCTACCACCTTCACTTCCTCCATAATGCCTTTCTTCATCAACATGTTTACCACCTCCACCAATGTAATTTGTTCTGTGGCTTCCTCCAGTGTGTGTGCCACCTTCGCCACTGTAATGCCTTTCTTCGCCAGTACCGACATGAGTTGTAGTTGTGTGGCTTCCTCCATAATGTTTTTCTTTATCCATATGCCTACTACCTTCACCAAGATAAGTTGTAGTAGTGTGGCTTCCTCCAGTGTGTCTACCACCTTCACCAAGATGAGTTGTACCGTGGCTTCCTCCAGTGTGTCTACCACCTTCACCGAGATGAGTTGTAGCATGACTTCCTCCAATATGTCTGCCACCTTCACCGTAACTTGAACCACTGCCAGATGTAACTCTGTGCTCAGAGTGTCTCTCTTCATATTCATGTCTGTTTCCACCTCTTGTCACTGTAGAAGGATCCTCTGCGGAACCAATACTTGAATCAGGGAACCTCCTTCTACCATCTCGCCTATCTCCTTCGTTGGTATGCGATGAATAGCCATGGCCTCTGTCCCAAGAACCTCCTCTTTCATAATAACGATCATCTTCAGTGATATGAGTCGAAGAACCATTTCTTACTTCACCATCTTTATTCACCCTCCAGCTTGTCACTGACGTAGTGACGGGTTTTTCACCAGATCTCCAACTCGTATTTCTTGAGCTGTGCCTTTCTTCTTCATAAACTGTTGAACCTGATGATGGCCGCCCCCTCGATATGTGAGCATCGCTTTCCAGTTTTCCTCCATTCACAGCGTGATGTTCTTTTTCTAATCTTTTACCGTTTCTGTCCAGACCATCGCCACTTTGTTTATGCGTGGAATGCGATATGTACCTAGTTCCACCGGATGAACTCGTAGAGAACGAAGAGGAATGTGACTGCGAAGATGAATGGTGTGAAGAGCCACTTGATGAGAGGGCACTTGTTCTTGAATTTTCCAAATTAGATTCACCGTATTTTTTTCGCTTAGCTTCTTCCAGCTGTAATAGAAATATAGTTTTACAAAACTGATAGAATATATATTAGTAATAAGGATAATAGCTTACTATAATATTTCTTGGATTTACTCCTTCTCCCATTTCACATTGTATGGGTCCAGTAGTTTCAGGATATTCGAGTAAATACAACAATGGCTCGCCTTAAATAGACAAAAGATTACATTATTATTTTAAATAAATAATAATAAATTTAATAAAAAAATAAATGCATGTTAAAATTACCAGTTAGAGTATATGATGGCCAAAGGAATTGCACTTCTCCTTCCAGAAAATCAGAAGGCCCAACATTTCTAATGACATACGTGTGAACAACTTGCGGCCCAATATCATTTTCTTTGAAAATTTCACCATCAAATTGGGATACATTGTAGTGGATGTCTTTCGGAGATGACAACCTAAAAACAAAAATTTTAATTATTAATTTTCAAGAAGAAAAAAGATTTTTTTAAAAATCACTAGTTTCTTTGTACCCTTCCAACTGTAGTTCAGTTCGGACCCAAATCGGAAGATCAATTTTCATAAAGTTGTCTGAAAGGGACGTTTCATTTTCTTGGTTCGTTGAATTGACAAGCATCGTAAATTCGTACTTCGGCTTCATCCCCCCTTCGAGGTTGTAAGGTTGAAGAATTACTTGGAATTGAGCCTAAAAATTGTAAAAAAGTTAAATATTTCTCGCTTTAACTAATTAGAGGCTATAAGTTAAATTAATTAAAAATTACCTTTTTTTCCTTCGGAAGAGGATTTCCAATATCACATATCAATGTATTATTGTTTGACAAGCTAGGAGGCGAGCATATAATAGGACTGACATTTTCGTCTTCCCTAAAACTAAAATTAATGTTATGATACTCAACTGAAACACTAGGTATCAAATTAATATAATACTGTACCTGACAACTTTGACGTAGTTAAGACCCGGAGGTAGTTTGATCTGGTATGTCGCCTCAAAAGCGTCCTCGCCTTTATTCTGCACTGTCACTTCAATGGCAAGCCTCTGACCAGAACCGAGTAAGTATGTTGTGACATTTCTAAAATTTCATTTTATAAGTTAAAGTTTTATAAAAAGCTACTTGCACTAGAAAACTAAAAAAATTAAATTATTAAAAAAATCAAAAATTCATAGGAAATAATAAATAGTATAAATTAACACGGTATAAACAATATTGTCAGCTCTTATCGTTGATAATAAAAAAATTAATGAACAAGAGGCACCTTTCTTTGCTCAAATTCATTATGAATGATATTAAACCAAATCTTCAATCAGAAAACAAAATCATATAATTATGCACTTCAAGAAATTAAATTTTTGCAATAAATATTTTTTTTTAAATCAGTGGACTACTGTTACCACAAAGGTAAATAAAATAATATATAATACACAAAATTATTTTGAAATATGCAATATAAAATATATTTATATAATAAATATTGATATAATAAAAGACATTGTTACAAGAATAGCAAAATGTTAAGGCCTGTTGGACATTTTGAAACTTATTTTATTACTTAATTATAACCCTTACATTCAAAGCTGTAAATGTTTAACTAAAAAAAAATGTACTAACACTTTATTAATATGTATTCATGTTTTCTAACATAACAACTACAGGCCTTTTTTTCGCCAAATTGCTTTGCTGATACTTTCAAAATTTTTATATTCTTTTCTTTCTTTCTTTTTTAAAATGAGAACTGCATTCTGGTTTTTCATATATTTATTATAAAACATAACAAGATTCTATAGCTTAGATAGATAAATTGTAAGATTTCTCCCAGCCTGGGGGAAGATGATCATATAATTTGGTCCTTACAATCATTGTGGACTGACTATCGGTTTATTTTGTCAGATCTTTCGCCCAGACCTCAGTACTGAAGATGAAGTGTCAGATGACAGACCAAATTAAAAATAAAGTTCACACAAAATATGCAACTTTTGACAAAAGGGCTTTTGTAATTTTTTGAAGTTAAATTTGGAGTAAGACAGGGTCGTGTATTAAGTCCAATTTTATTTGCTCATTTCCTGGATGAGCTTCATTCTTCTCTAGACTGTCATGTAAGATGGCATTGTCATAATTCTATTTTACTCATGGGGTTTGGAAAAACTTTAAACTTTTCAACCTTAAAAGATCGAACATCATGATTATCTTTTTTTTTTTGGCCTTATGATCTTGCATATTAGCCATGGTACGAATTCTCTGTGTGTTTAAATTGGGGGTTATCGGGAAAAAAGGGCCAGAGACGACGGTGGGAATCGAACCCACGACCGCGGCGTGAGAGTCTCTCATGCTAACCACTCGGCTACCGCAGTCCTTTGTTTATTTGATTTTACTTTTTATTTTTTTTAATGAAGGTTCACAACAGCAAAGGTCATATCAACCCTCGGGGGTGTCAGAGTTTTGGGGGAAAAAAAGCCCATTTGTAAGTATTTTGGGTTCGAATGCACGTGTTTAAGTCTTGATCAAGTATTTGAGAGAAAAACCCTCCACAGCCAATATTACTTAGGACATCGTCCCACAAAATATGCAGCATAGCATATTCAGTTCAGTGTGCACATGAAGTTTATGTTATGGCTGCAAGCAATTTGAAATATGTTTTTGTTATGCTCAAATAATGTTTCATAAAAGTATTTTAAAATATATAATTTCAGGTTCCTTTTTGGAAATTTGTTTGACAGATTTAATTGCAGTATAAAAAACTTCGCTTTAAACGGTGGAGAAAACTAACAAAAGAAAATTTCTAACTTTGATAGAACAATTTTTTTTTCTTTGTTTTTATATATACAACTACAGTACTACTGAAGCAGACTCATAATGGTGATTAAATAGCACAGGTTAACAATTCATATATCTAAAATCACAAATATAACAGATGGGGGTTTGACTAGGGATCTGAGGCATTTATTGAAGCATGATGTATTTCTCTGTTGTACCTTGAATCTATCTTTTTAAGTCCCGTCCTCAGGTGCAAGTTCTCCATTTTAGTCAGTGGTCTGGTAGTGATGAACCTTAGGAATTCGTTCTGTTGCACCTGTAATATCCTAATGCTCGTAGGGTTGGTGAGACTCCATGCCAGGGCTACATAAAGTAGCATAGGTCTATCTTATACAAAAGCTTCTTGTTAGAAACGCTCATCTTGCACAACCTTGCCATAAAGGGGAAAAGTGATCGGCACCTAACCTTTGTCTAATCTGCTTTGTATGTGGTGGGTGAACATTTTTAATCCATTACTTGGCCCAGGTCAGACCAAGGTATGGAAAGATTGCTTTTGTGTTTATCAGGTTTATTTTGGCAGTGTGCGGCAATTTTAGCTAAAGCCATGGGTAATGACAGCATATAGTGCAAACTTGCAGTCTGTGCAAGGCAGAAGGCAGAATATAATGAACAGCATTTTTTTTTCATCTCAACTAAAAACCTTAATTAATTGTAAAGTATTAATTGGTCAAGCTGACCACAAAATTAGTGAATTTAATGAATTAAAATGAAGTACGCTTCAGTAAAGCTCTCCGTGGCCATTTCATTTGTCGTTGAGAATCCAATCCGATTACACGACAATTGAAAAATGGCAAAAAGGAGGGAAAACTCAAAAGGTGCGGTTGAGATGGGAAGTTGGTGTCTGAGTGGATCGAGGTCACGATAGCTCAAGTGGTAGAGCAGCGGCGTATCTAGCCGAAGATCGTGGGTTCGAATCCTGCTCGTGCCATTGACTTTTTTTCATCTCAACTAAAAACCTTAATTAATTGTAAAGTATTAATTGGTCAAGTGGACCACAAAATTAGTGAATATAATGAACAGCATGGGCCAAAATATGGTGCCCTGAGGTACTCCAGCGAGGACCTTATGATTGTGTTTATGTTGCTGCTTACAGCAGTAAACGTACTGAGATCAATTGTTAGAAATTAAAGGCTCCCACCCATAATTATGTGATATATTTGGAGTTCTGATGACCTGGTTTACCTCCAGTCACTAAAACCATATTTTTCCTACGTTTTCAAAACAGTGTCATCTTTCAAAGGAATTTGTCCAGAACAACAGCCTTACAGATTGTCAAAAATTTCACGATTCACGTATTAGAAATTTCTGTTGGTCGGACAGTATGCACATCCTTCTAACTTGACTCTTTGAGACTGAATCCCTGTTCGAAGACATCCCATAGCTTTCCAACGGACAGCTTAAATGTACATCACCTTCCAAGGGTTAAAACTTTCCAAATTTCGATGATTGGAAAAATTCAGCCTTGTAGTTGAGGTAAATCTGTTCACAGTGTGTTCCCAAGCCTTGCATGTCCAACAAAGGGCTTTTTGAAAATCAACTGTCCATTAATCAAAATATTTTCAATCTCCAAGTACGAATTTATTTGATTTAATATTATTTTTTAGCACCTTTAAGTCCTTACATTAGCACAATTTCATTGTTAAAACAAATTGCACCTTTATAAGTACAATTTCACATGTCAGACTTATTTTGACATCGTCACTGTCTGTAATAGTACCGTAGAATAATCCAAGCTTATCACTCTGCAGACCACTTGGGTGCAAGAAAAGCCAGAATAAAATGATCAGAAACGACCAAATTACAAATAATAAAAGTATTGTAATTATAATTATACTTGTATGAAAAACATTGTCATTTCCATTTACTTGTTTTTATTGTAAATTATTTTTATACATTTTGTAAAAAATAAAGGTTAAAATAAGTAGATAAGTACACCGATACGAATTGATTATGAAGAGTAGCTGAATATGGGTTAAAATAAACAAACACTACAAGATAATGTTAATTTATTTGAGAACTTTGGTCAGCAAATTTATTTCACTCTCAACAAACGTTTTTCTCCATTTTAAAATAAATTAAAAATTTTCTAAGTAAAAACCGAGTACAATGTTTTATTTGCTAGTCACGGATGTGGATGATCGGTTGTGTTTGAGATGACTTTTCACTAGATCGCCAGAAGCTAAAGCTGCCATTAAGGAGAGTTCTCCGGCGAGGACACAGGCACAGACTATCCTAGCAAGCCTCGAGGCGTTATCGCCTGGATTGACCGAACTCCCTTTGACTCCGAGTATCTCAAGGCAAGAAGACTGCGGAGAGAGCACTGTGCCACCTCCCAAAGTGCCGACTTCTATGCACGGCATCGTGCAGGATATGTACAAATCCGAATTGTCATTTCCACACGGTTCCATTAAGGTCATGCATTGCGAACTCGTGACATTTTGTGCTGGATCTTGTCCCGTTGCTATGAATATTGCTGTTACTATGTTGGCCGCATGTGCGTTAAAGCCACCTATGCTCCCGGCGACTGCGGATCCCACTAAGTTTTTATTAATGTTCAAGTCGACAATCGCTTCGACTGATGTTTTAAGAACCGTTTTAACAATGTTGCTACTTATTCTCGCTTCACAAACGACTGACTTTCCTCTTCCTTCGATCCAGTTCACCGATGTAGATTTTTTGTCAGCACAGTAATTACCGCTCAAGCTCAATATTTCCATATCTTGAAATTTTTTCTTTATATAGATCAAACTGTGTTCCGATCCTTTAGACACCATGTTCATACCCATGGCATCACCAGTCGTAGCGACAAATCTGATAAACAACAATCTCCCTGTAATACGAACTTGTATTTTTGTCAGTTTTGCAAAACGGCTGGTTGAGTCAAAAGTTTTTTTAATATTTTTAAAAGCCTCTTCGCTCTTGATCCATGTCATCGCTTCACTTGCACGTACTAAATCTGGAAACCTGACGACGGGCCCACGAGTCATGCCATCGTCCACGGAACGGCTTGTGACACCGTTAAACGAAACAGCCCGACAGCCCCTGTTTGTACTCGCTACAAGACATCCTTCAGTCGTTGCCATTGGTATGTACACTTTTTTTCCATCTAATAATAGAGGTCCAACAATTCCTAAAGGTAATGGAACATAACCGATAACATTCTCACAGCATGCTCCAAAAACTTTTTTATAATCGAATCTTTCGTATGGTAAACTCATAAAAGCGTTCTTTAATTGACTGTTTTTTGAAAGGTGCATCCTTCGTATTTTGACAGCTCTCGTTTTATTGTTTAATTGAAGTTCAAGTGAATGTGTTTTAACTTCTCCAATCTCAATGAGCTTGTTTACTTCATTATCTCTTAGAGAGTCTAAATTTCCTGAAGTCCTCATTAATGTTAAACATTCTTCAATTGGTCGCATCTCTTCATCTTCCTCAGGCTCTTCATACTCTACCATTTCATTCTTTGTGTCTTCATGAGAAGACTGAATGAATTCTAAGCCTTCGAAGAAAATGAATTTTATTGTTAAAGCAAGTAATAGGATAAAAACTACAACTTGATCCACCGATAGGCCAAGAAGGGTCGATTTTAAAGTGTCGATGGTATGAGTCGATGTCACTTCCGATATGGGTAAGGTCGAATTTTCCCTTTCATCGCCTGTGAGTGACCAACGATTCTGTAAATGCACGATCATAAGCCCGGCAGACATTATTACCTTGACTCTTTGCAGTACTGGATTTTGCTTCTCGCTTTCTCCTACCATCTCCCATGGTACTTTTTCAAGACCGTCGTACAGCTCGAGGACGAGGCTGAGACACGCTGGATAAAACGTCATAAATACTATGTAGTTAACGATGACAGATACACAAGCGAAGAAACAAAGCGTCTCGAGTTTTCTGATCCCAGAGAGAGTGCCCACACTGATCAGAAGCGTCTCGACAAGGGCGTCAAGGGTAAGTCCTGGGCCGAGTACATCCAATCCTCTCGCGATGTTCTTCTTCACCTCTTCTTTATCCGAAGCACTGAGCGCGAACTGGGCCAACAAAGTGGCTTTGGAGAGATCAATAAGTAGTAAGAAACAGAACAGAGCATCCTTCAGGTCTGATATATCCCCTCCAAAACAGTTAATTACAGTGGAGCTGAAGACGAAGCTGGATATGACCGTGAAGACACCGGCAACTCCGAGGAACGTGGAACCGAGAGACCTCAGACTCCTGAACTTGTAATAGCAGTAGAGTATAGCTATGCATCTCACCGATGTCATGATTGCAACGTCTACATGCAGAGAATCGTGCGACAATTCCGGCTTGGGCCTGGGGGCCACTGACGTGAAGTCCATCGTGAAAAGGCATGACGTGAGGGTCAGGGTGGCGACGATCACCTCCCAAGGGTGATTGGCGCAAAACTGGCCGTGTTTCTTGAACATTTCGGAGGGGAAAGACTAGTTATGAAATTATCCCGAGTGTACTTGAAGCATAACTACACGAGAACCGTGTGGTCCTCGGTAGAGGACGGGAATCAGCTGACGCATGAAGCTGAAAACTGCAGAAAGAATTCACACTGCGCAATCGCCACAGCGCTAGCATCTCCAGCCACGCCTTAATGCGCAATCAGTACAAATTCAAATCTTCAAGTAAATTATTCTTTAGTCTTTCAAAGTTTCAAGTGTAATGTAATTATTACAACTCAACACTGAAGATGTCGGGAAGCCGAAACACATCTGATAAACCAACCGAGCAAGGAAAAGTAGACCAAAATGATCGGAAACGAACTAACGTCAAACAACGACAAAACTGGTATGCTCCTAAAAATTAATCTTCCTTTTTTCATTTAATAATTAGTAAATTTCTTTTCTTTTTCGATTAATATCATTGTATGTTTATCTATTAAAAAAAGGTCAAAACACACACACACACACACAGAGTAATGAAAGCAGACAAAACAAATAAAACGCTAATAATTTGCTGAAGTCGTGAGGAGCAGTCATTTACATTCAGTCTCCTGGCGACTTCAGGCTGTACCATAACCAGGTGAATTTGATGATAGTACTCTGTAGGCTTCTTTAGGCAGGTGTTATTTTTATAGTCTGATGACCAATTTAGGCACTTATTCGGACTTTCACCTTGTAGGGTTGTCTCTCCCAGTGTCCAGGCTGTCAGTGTCAGTGCTGACCTTAGTTATTAGTGAGTTCAACCATGAACCATGCGACTGGGATACTGGGTCGCTACTCGCTACTAGGCTCCGACGGGGGCTATCGACAGTTAGGTCATTTCAACCCCAAATGCATAATAATAGTAATAATAATGCTTTATTGAACTAAGAAAAAATCAGTTGCGCTTTCAAAGCATTTATGGACATGGATCTTGGATCCATCTGCCAGAGGTCATTTGGTTAAGCAATCCAAAAGAAAAAAACACAGAATAAAGTAACATAATAATAACATCCTAGGAAATAAATTGAAAGAAAAGAGAGAAAAAAACAACTGTTAAAATGAGAACGAAAGAGAAGAAAAACAGGCTATACAAGTCAAATAAAAAATTAAACTCCTTAATTAACGTATGGTGATTAGTGACCGTTAGTCGATGATTATTCAGAAATCGTGAGATGCGGTCTGGTGTGATGTAGGTTTCAGAAAAACATTTTCTTTATCGTGCCAACGTTTAGATCTTCATTGAGATCATCTTCAGGGCCTGGGATTTACAAACATTGTTTAAATTTAACAAAAACATGTAGGATGTGGAAAAAAGTGAATTTATACAATGCAAAAATATATTTTTTTTATTCAATCAAAGTTTTTCTATGCAGAGAACAAACACTTTGAGTAAGTAGAAATACTTTGATTGAATATAAAAAAATATATTTTTGCATTGTATAAATTCACTTTTTTCCACATCAAACATGTTGTTATTAAATTTAAACAATGTTTGTAAATCCCAGGCCCTGAAGATGATCTCAATAAAGATCGAAACGTTGGCACAATAAAGAAAATGTTTTTTCTGAAACCTACATCACACCAGACTACGTCTCACAAGTTCTGAATAATCCTTAATTAACTTATACCTATAATTCCATGCCTAACATAACAAATTAAGGGCTGCGAATTTGAGCCACTCAAAAACCGTAACTGGTCAACTTGGGGAGAATGAAACATCCTAGATGCAATAACTGAATCTCACCCAGGGATGAGCAAACCCCCAAGAAATGGAATACTGTTTCAAAAGATTGCGAATTTCACAAAGAACAGATTCCCAATTCCTCTCTAATCCAAACAGCCGAGTTTAAGTGCCACAAATGCATGCAAACTGTAATCTAGTTTAATATTACTTAAATTGGATAAATCAGACGCACAAATAAATACGTTCATGTTTTGCACTCATTCTGGCTAGTCGGTGGAGTACTGGATATCTCTATCGACACCGTATTAATAATCTAACCTCAATTTGGATCAATGACAATGAGGTACTATAATAAATATTTCACTATAGACCCTAAACACACCACACACTGCTGGAGGAGCGATGGTGATGCTATATTTAATCATCACCCCTCACCACTCGCCTTAATAAATACACACATACTCCCATATCTTCTAAAAAAAAGGAACAAGGGACCAACCGACTACTGGTCTCAAGAACCATTCTTAAATCTGGCACCAGGCCTACATATTCTTTGTATGGTGCCAAGGTATGACACGCCAATATTAGTGGGACACATTAAGCAACCTTTCTCTGCATAATGGAACCTGCACGGGTGTTGGCCCAAAAGCAGGTGCCTGTGTATCAGCAACATATGGCCAATCCTCAAACATGACCCTGCCATATTTCTTTTATCATGTTTTTCACTGCAGGCTTAGCATCTGAGGGCCTGATCGCAATGGTCCATCTGGAGGGTGGGACGTAAGAGCCGTACGTTCCACGTTTATTATCTGACTTCTTAGAAGGGCTAATATCCATCAGGTAGTCAGAGGGTCTATACCCTCTCTTTTGTATTGCTTTTGTCAAATTCAAGGCACAATCTTCTTCTTTCGGTATGAATACAATACATAATTATGAATATATTTTTATATCTACTTATATTTTTGTGTCCTTATATACATTTACTTATTACCTATTTTTTGTGTTTGGCTTGTTTTTCTGTGTTATTAGGCTTCTAAGCCTGTGTTTGTAATTACAAAAAACCACCTTACAGCCTAGTATATTTCGATATCCTTGATCTCTAGTTTTGCTAGTTCATAGTTGGCCTTAAAAATACAATCAGGGTTGCAGGGCTTTCATTCCCTGTTGTAATAGCATAGGAGAAGTTACTGAACTGAAGTTCCTTACTGATGATGACTTATAGCAGAAACACTTTTGAGGGTCAAAACCCGCAAGTATTGACAGACCCAGTGCCAGTTGAAAATATCATTTGCGTATTTGTAATAAAACAGATATTAAATTGTCATCCATTTGTTTTTTAAAATATTCATATAACGAACCACCGTGAATTGTTGCAACACAGTCACTAAACATGCACAAAGTTAATTGGTAATAAAAATTACTACTCACGGTTTTGCTACCAGTCTTAAATCAGGGATACATTTCTGATCATGCCCGCAATTCTTGTGAATGGCCAAAGAATCCTGCCACTTATGTTCGTTGGTTGTGTCAAGCACAGGGGGCATCGTACTAAACCATGACATAAAATTGTAAATATTTATTTATATACATAAGAAAGCATATTGTTTAAATTGCAACCTGTAGTATTGACTTTTAGGCAGGCCGATTTTCACCTCTGCATCCAAACTTGTTAGTTTATCTCTTATAATATGCTGTAACCAAAAATAAATAAGTATATACCACAATACTAACATATAATTATACTGAATCTACCCCCACTCCATATCTTTATACAGGGAGAGACCAAGGCCATAATTTACAGATGCAGGGACAAATTCCAATAAAAACGAGCATTTAAAGGTTTGGGAGGAACTTTAGGCAGACACGATTCTGGGAATGCCACTTGATGCCATGATCCCAAAATTCAGACTTGATAAGAAATTTCAAATTAAAATACCCAATAGAACAGACTAGGACAAAGAGATCCCAATTAATCCTGACCATATCTGGTATACAAATGGGTTCAGACCAAGTACTTGTCACGAACTGTTATTGATGGTATATAAGGACTAGAATTGGCTCTTATTGGCAGTCTTGGCAATGTGTCACTATCTGTCATAATTTAATTAACACTTAGTTTTTGAAGGGCAACAAAAGGCTGGGTATTACCAACAGAAGAATAGCCATTTACATAGGCAACCAGGTGGCACGGAAGGCAACTACCTCATTGGTAGTAAAGAACAGATCCATTTGGGACTGAATTAAGGCTCTTTCAAACATTGAAGCAACAACAAAATGTTTGGGTGCCAGGGCAAAGGAGCTTAGAGGATTGTTGGACAAAGAAAATTTCTTGAAGTTGCCCATCAGCCCTGGATCCTTTTGTGGCATACCAAATTGCCAAAAATGTAGATCCATCAGCCAATTAATTGAAATAAGTCCTCTGATCAATAGGATTGTTTTCCTGGATAGAGGCATGTGGAAAGGTCATCAAAGAACCATCGCGGAAACTAATGATATAACTACTAAACCTAGGATGAGTTAGTATTAAAATTATAGTTGGACTGCTGACTACACACTGCACACCCTGGAGAATAATTATGTATACAATTGAAAAACGCCTCATACAGGATGTTGAAGCGTGCTAGATAAGATCTGTTTTTCCCATGATTTGTAAGAGCCATTGCAAAATTGCCAATAGCCATTGTCTTTGCTTTGGTTGGTGCAAAGACCTATGCAGCCTGAGATTCCTACTTCTGGGAGAGGAAAAGCCCAGGCCTGAAGGATACACAGAGAGTCCTTGACTTAGCTTTGAGAACTGAGAAAGCTTTCAGCTTAGTGAGGAGCTCTAGTCAATAATGGAGATTGCACAACAGACCAACATTGGTTGTGCTACAAGAGGTCGTAAAGAGGACTCCTTTTAACTTTAACAAGTTAATTGTAACCTTAACCTTAATATAAGTTTATATAATACAGTAATACAAATACCTTCATATAAACATTATGAGTAATGCATGCTTGTTGTCCTTTTGTTGCTCTGAGTTTAGAAACTTGTACATTTGATTTCTGGGCATTTTTAAAGTGCATACGTGGTATTTTTGAATTTTTTGAATCCACTATTGCCTTGACATCAAAGTCGAGTTCTTTAGCAACACCTATTCCACTATATTTTAAACAGATTTTAAGTTCTGTGCAGGCAGTCTACAATTAAAAATCATTATTATTAATTTTTTTCTAAATTGGGAATTTGTAATTTGTTTTTAATTACTGGGCGTTTCTCTATTGTGCACTGTCGGTCAGCTAAATTTATTTCCTTATCAGGAGACGTATATTGTATAAATGCATCGATTTTAACAACAGGACTTGACCTAAAAATCAACCAATAAATTAGATTTTGTGTAATTTTTTGTTTTATGTTTTTAAATTACTTACTTAAACAAGAATGAATGTGCAGAATCATAAGCTCCAATGATCAGATCAGGATATTCATTATGATCCATGTCTACACCTCCTGCCAAAGAAAACCCAAAAGTCCTCGTATCACCTTGAACATCCTCTGCTAATATTTTTTGCGCTGCTTTTTCAATATCTGTCGATGAAGATCCATGGTAAATGTAAACGGCTCCTCTTTCATTTGGACCGTCATATGGCGCCCCAACGGCAAAATCTAAAAAAAGTACCTTTAATAATTGCAATGAAAAATTGATAAAAACAGTTTTTACCTCCAAAACCGTCCAAGTTAATATCACCGAGTGAAGTTAAAGCCAGGCCAAACCTAGCCTTAGAATGTTTTCCTTCAAGAAATGTATATCTTTGAAAGGGTAGACCCTAAATATGAAAAATCAGTATAATTTAGTAATATAAACAAATTTTATTTTTATTTAGGGCCAAACGATCCCTTACCCTACTGCCTTGGTAGATCACATAAACTCGCCCATTTTCATAATTCCAATTGCTATTGTCTAAGTTTGTGTACAGTGGAGCACCCACAATTAAGTCATCATGAGAATCACCGTCTATATCACCTGAACAGATTGAATATCCAAAATAGGCTCCAAGCTGTTCCCCTGAGATGTTGTGAATATTTCTTAAATCCCAGGTTAGAAGGACAACCTAAAAAAAATATTAATATAAATTAAATTAAGAGATTTCTTGTTATTCAGGTGATAAACCTGTAATTTGATCTACCGATCATCTTGGTCTGCCTACTTGGTTTGTCTGTCGACAACTGTGACGACACTTCACACTGAAGATCGTGAAATGCTGAAACGTGTCTGACAGACTAACCCAGCGAGAATAGATAGACCAAGATTCGTAACAGCAGAGGTGATATAAACCCTCGGGGGGCCGGTATTAAAAAAAAAAAAAAAAAAGCCCATTTGTAAGTATGTCGGATTTGAATGCAGGACCGCTGGATTCAAACCCAGGCCTTTACCTTACAGTGATGAGTGCCATATCAACGCCTAAACCGTTGTGGCCACCTATACCCCCGAAGAATATTATTGTATTTTTATCAGGGAAACAAAAACAAAAAAAAAAGGACAAGGGCAATATTAAAAACTTACTTTTCCCAGTAAATTTTCGCCTTTTGGAACCCCCACAGCTGCATCAGCAGGGCCTTTTTTTGTTCTATTAAAATACCCAGAAGCAACTGAATAACCAAGATATGAGTTGTCATATGCATAAGGTCCTTCTTTTGTTGCAAGAAAATCAGGCCGAGAGTACAAATTTTGTGATGCGACGACACCTGAGGTAAAAAAATATTGATTGGTCAAAAAAAAATTTTTTTTTTAAATACTAGTTTCATTTTATTCATAAACAACATTATCATTCCAAGTTTTACAAGAAGCAGTGATGGCAGAATAAAAACAAAATCACATTACATACATAACGATTTTGCTCTTTTATATTACATATATGGCTTTCACAAAGAAAATTTACATAAAGCAATAAATTTTGGAGGAAACAAATTATTACAATGCAGGGAAATAAAAAAATCTATTTTTTTAAAATAAATTTTGAAAAGGAAATGAAATAATATATTACAAATATAGGATTTTGGTTTGAAGCGTGTTATACACAAAATCAAGTATTAAATTTAACCCAGTAAATTTTTCATATCTGTAATGATTGTAATTTTTCGGTTAATCCTGCAAACAAACACAAAAGATCATTGGAAGTAAAGCCTGTTTGCAAATAGTCCAAATAATTTACATCGTTATGCCAGCAATAATTTCCACGAATTGATAAATTTCACCAATGAAATTCAAGACACTTTTATGCTACAAATGAACCATCACTGCATATGAAAAAAAAATCGTAATAAAGCTTTATGTTTTTATTAACAATTAATTAAAAATACGAGTTAATATTCATAAAAAAATTGTTTTCTATAAAAATAAAGTCTCAAAGTGTTTTTTGTGAACAGAAGTAGCATATTTTGTCTTAAAATGTCATTCTTAGAGGATTCATAAATCAAAATATGAAAAACTGGATGCAGGCAGATAAAAAGTAAAAAAAACAAAACTTCAAGCTGAAAAATAAAAATAAAATAATAAAAATTATACAGACAGAACTTGTAAATAGAAGAGTGCTGCCACCAGAATGCCCAATCCAAAGTGTCCTTTATCACTACACACAACACTGTGAAGTTACAAACTCAAAACTAGCATAGCATGCAGAACTAGTTTAAAAGGAAACACTAAAATAAAGGTTTTAATAGAAAACAGAACATGCAAAGGCAAAGAGCTTGTGCCTGTTTAAACCATATGACTGGTGGTTGTATGTACGTAATATGTGAATTGGCTCCTATAAAATCAGTTAGTAAAATAATAAATTAGTTAGTGAATAAAGAAAATATGTTAGACTCTCAGCTCTTAAATATCTAACATTTGGTTTCATAGTACAAATTAAGTTCGAATTGCACATTGTGTCAAAAGTGTGAAATGAATTTTAAGCTTTATAAGCTGATGAGAATTTTTATCTGAATTATCTTTCCCTCTTTTTTGAAAAAATTCAGATATGTAGGTCTATTAATCAAGTTTTATTTATTAATTTTTTTGTATTTATGTTTTATTTATGCTAAAAACGTAAATAAACATAAAGTTCATTGAAAATTGAAATTTTGAAGAAAAAAAATTATAGTAATATTGTTCTGCCTAAAAATGTAATTTTTGAAATTAGTTGAACTTCAACAAATGGACTAATGTAATTTAATGGAACTTGCTGCTGTATTGCTAGTTAAGCTGGTTGATTTGTTATTGTAACAGTTAATTATTTAGGTTATTTCCATTTAATATCTTTTATTCTTTAAAACGCCAAATAAAATAAAAACAGTTAGGCTATTACAGCAGTAGGAGTTATTGCTTGGATGTATTTTAAAAATGGATTTTATATCATTGCTATTAACCGTGCTAAGCTTATGAATCTTTCGTTCGGAAAAATAATCAAATCATATAACCTCACAGAATTATTACCAAGTTACCAATGTTTATATGAGTTAATCAGCAATATTTATTTTGTTTCAGTGTCTTTTTTTTAAGTTGTCTGTCCTTTTGTTGTTTTACCTTCTTTGTACTTGAAAAACATCTTTTTGTCAAACAGTTGAGAGACCGCTCCAGATGCCTTGAGAGAAAATAGCTGACCTGCAATTTGAAGAAGCAACATGCAACATTGAAACATTTGAGTCAAACCGACTCACTTTCTTTACTTTTTAGGGCTTATGATAAATTATTAAAACTAATAATTGTTGTTTTAAACAAGCAATTTGTCTATATATAATTGCTTAATGTTTTTGATAAATGACGGGTGTTTAGTAAAATTTAAAAAAAGAGGAAGAAAAACAACTATGATTCACTTTTATAGATATCTAGGAAATGTTGGAGCTTGAATGATAAATTTCATGCCATTTTGACTGAATTTGTATTGATTTAACCCATTCCGTATCAAGCTATTTTTAGTTTGATAATGGATAGACTTTTACGTATCATCTTATTCATTAATAAGCAAAAACTTCTGTTTTTTAGGGGTAAGTAAGAATTCCAACCTTTTCTTCATTTTGACCTATTGACCTATAAAGGTTTATTGTGCAACCCGTGTGATGACTTTACTGGGGAAAGGGAACTTTTGTCCTACAAAATTAAGTACTTTTCTCAGCGCCTCTTTGTATACCCCTCTTGGTGAGAGAATTGGCAAAGTGGCTATAGCATAACCGGGCTATTTTGATGATAGCACCACTCCTTGGGAGCATCGCTGGTTAGGTGCTATTTGTATAGACTATGACCAAGTTCAGCATTGATTATCCAACTTTTAGCATTGGTAATATCCAGCTGGTTGTCAGAGAAACTATACCCATTACTACCCCCACTGCTGTTTCAGTAGGTATGTATGAGATAGAGCACACCTCTTTTGGTGTGAAAATGGTTTTACCAAAGTGGCTATACTGTATATGGCTACTGGTTCACATTCACCAAGAATATGGCCAGTGAGTAGCCAGGTACCAGTGACAACTCCAGTCAACTCCTCGTCAGTGGCTACAATAGAACCACAGGCAGTTGCAATGCCCTTTTCCCCTTTAAAATGAAAGAAGATGTGGTAAATATGGCCTAAATAGACTGCTAATGTGATGTCTCTTGTTTTCTTGACAGTGTTGGAATGTTTTTATCTCTAAGTTGCTCATTGACATTACATGATGGAAGGTGTATCTAGCCATCCTTTTTGAGATATTAGATGTCTCTTAGGAGTCATTATCCAGAGCTTTTATCCAGTTTTTGTTTTTCTTTCTCAAGACATTATTCCATCTCCAACTTTAGTCCACTTTCTGATGTACCTAGTTGTGGTTCTGGTCCAATCGGTAAGAGGGTGTCCGATCTTTAGTTAGTCGGTAATCCTTTTCATTTCCCCCTATGCCTTCATGTCCCAGAACCCACCTTGTGTAACCTTGTGTTTCCAGGGCCGTTAAGCAATTTAGGTGTTCCCAGACTATTTCGTAATTTAGCTTCATGCTGAAGGCATATGCATGACTGTCCAAAAATAAGCTAATCTTTCACTTTTTGTATTCTTCTTTATCAACTCAGGTGCACAGGGTAGGATTGCAAGGACCTCAGCTTGGAAGATAGGACCAGTTTGAAGGGGTTTTGCTAGGGCTTAATTAAGCCCTACACCTATGCCATCTCCATCTTTGGTCTATCAGTATATCAATATTATTAAGTCATAATATTGGTCTGTCAATATTAAGCCCCTTTGTGAAACTTTTCTCTCTCCCATAGTTCTCTGTATCTTGACCAGCTGGAATGGTCGGAAAAAGTTGAGTTTTCCTCTTATTTTGTCAGGTACTGTTATAGCCATCTCATTTAATTTAAATCTCAAAAAAAAATTTTGATGTGGCTACTCTTTAGATCTGGTTTTAATTTCCCTGCATCTCAGGAGTGTGTGGTATGTAAAAGTTTAAGAGTGGGAGATCGAGTGGGGTTTCCATTGCTGTTGTGGGACAAGTAGCATCACCTTTACATTAAGACATGCTAGAAAGTGTAGTTTGTTTTGACCATGGGTCTGGCCATTATGCATAACCAATTCACCATCCTGTGGTTTTTCCCCAGTTTTTGCTGCATAATCTCTGCCCAACGCTTAGTAGACCCTTGGCGTCCTTATTTTTATTTTCCCCCAGAAAAAATCCTCCCTTTTGTATGAAACATTTTTGTCACAGCCAAAAAATTAAAAACATATAATGCGAGCTAAAGTCAATTTAAAGCACAGAGATTATGATTCTCACGCAAATGCGAGGTACGGAATGGGTTCAAATCTAAGGATAAAAAGCAATTCAAAATTAAACTTTTTCTACCAACTAGAAGTTTAAAAGCTCACTTGACTATTTACTTAAACTACACATCACTCAATCTAACCTAATACTTTATTTGGATTCTTTTACCTAAATTTGTTCTTTATACAAGATATCTTTAAGAAAATATTTTTATATTGAGAAACAAATTGATATTTGAATTTAGAAGGCCACAAATAAATACAAAAAAAATCCTCAAAATATTTCAAATGCTTCTCTTTTCATCACATGCACAAAATGTGGGATTACCCCCAAGTGAAGGAATAAAATAAAAAGGAAAATTTCACTTAAATTTAAAAAAAGGTAATCAAAGACATTGAAGTAACAAATAAAAATAAAGTGAATTTAACAAAAAAATTAAATTAAAAAAAATTAAAAAGAAAAACTGAATAAGAAGATAAGAAATAGTTCATGCTTGTAACATGCTTATTGGTTCAGTCTGATAGGTTTGGCTCGTTCTGATGGTGACTGGCAAAACATCCGTGACAATCTTACCTTGCCAATACCAGCTTCCAGGCCCACCGATAAAAATCCTCTGACCATCCTGAAAATAATAAATGATATCAAGACCACATGACAAATAAAAGTTTCTTTAAAAAAAAAGACTACATCGTTAAAATTTAATTAGGATTGAAGAAGTTAATGAAGCCTTACCACTCTGAAGTTTATTGTTAACAACTGTTACTATTCAACTGTAAGCAGGACTAGTTTAATTGTACTTTAGAGTAATAAAATTAACTGTCATTTAATATTTAATTAAACAACTCTTGGATGATATAAATTATCTTTCATCCTTGGTAAGAAAGTGTTTTTGCAGTCTTAGTGCCTTTTGAAATAATTATTCAGCTTGAATTACAACTATAAGACACTAAATCTATTTATTATCTCATTATCATTTTTTTGAAGGGCTTAGTTGAGTATTTTTTTTTTTTTTTTTTTTTGCTTTACAACCTGATGGATTGGGCAATAAAATGTATTAATCCATATTTGCTTAGTGGTCATAATTGACCATATTAATTATTACAATTAATTATTCTTTTTATCTAAGGTTTTTGGTTGAGATGAAAAATTAGTGTCACAAGTGGGATTCGAACCCATGACCTTCGGCTAAATACGCTGCTGCTCTAACCACTTGAGCTAGCGAGACTTCTGACTTAAAGTATTGTACAAACCAGAAGAGCTTGGGAAATACAAAACCCATAATTCATAGTATTCCATTATCATCATTATGGATCATCTATTATGTTATTTTTTTTAAGATGTGCATTCAAGCAACTATGTGCCATAGACACCCGAAGGTTCCGATTGCTACAATTGATCAAAGTTATCAAAGGATCGTCGACAGCTTTTGTAGTACATTCTCATAATATTTCCCTTGTATGTCCTTGCTCATGTCATAGCCCTATGCCATTTGATGAAAGCTGTTATGTATCATCAGTTTCCTTTTTAAGGCTTGTGGATCAATTATTCCTTTATATTATATTTTTTTGCCTTTTTTTTATACCGTCCTTGTCATTGTGTGCTATTCCACTGTGTCCCTTCACCCACATAATTTTTACATTGGTGCTCTCTCGCCTTATTTCTTTTAATAACCTGAAGGTCCTAGCCTCTATGTTTGTCACTGACTTGTTAGATTTTCGGAGGATGCAGTGCCTGGTAGAGTGTAGACTGAGCAAACCTCCTGGTGTCTGAACCCGATATATGACTTGTGGTCGGACACAGCACATCTTTTTACCTGTATTGATTTTGATCTATCAGTGATACGTACCTGGAAAGCGTTGATTTATAGTAGTAAAGTGGAAAGATATTTCGATTCATCATGAAGGCTGATTTACAAGGAACTCATAGGGAGAAAATAAAGTCTGCATGCAGGTGACCGCAATGGTTAAGGCATTGACACAACGCTCATCACTGTAAGGCAAAATTCACAACTTAACAAATGTGATTTTTCAAAAACACCGGCACCCGGGGGGTGATAGGTTCTTTGCTTTGCGTAAAAAAGTCCACTTCGGTGGCCCTCTTCAAAATTTCGTCCAGAATTTTAATTATTATTGGTGTAGCTTTATTGGTCCAGTAATTGTAATTCTTAACCCAGTTTGACAAACACCAGAATACACCTATTTTTTTTAAGGAAATAGTTAATAGAATTTCGTTGGATAGGATTCTGCCTGCCAGCAATTGGTTTAGTTATGTTAATGATTTATCATTTATCGATAATTTTATGGCAATCTGTGGATCCGCTTACTCTCGCTGCTTGTACTTGTCAGACTCGTTTTCTACTAAAAGGCTGTGTTCATGTTGATTAAACCAGCCCGAAATTTAATTATACACAAAATAAATAATTTAGGACAAAGTAAAATCTTCTTTTTTTTCTTCTTTTAAATATAACACACAATAGTTCTAAAGATCCATTTAACATCCTAGAATAAATAAAAGAAAAAAAATAGTGAGAACCGGATAACTCATAGATCTTACGACCGTCTAGAAAAGCACGTAGGGGCGCCTATGTGATAGGACTTTTGGATCATTTCCAAATCGATATTTAGAATTCCTCAATTGCATTAATGATGATCAACAATTATTAGAATAGTATTATAATTAATAATAAAAAATAATAGGAAAAAGGTCTCACTATGACAACATTATTTTAAAAAATATGGTTTTCTTGGTAACGTTATTAGGATATTTTTTTTTAACGATTAGTAAAATATTTATCATGCTGAAAAATAGAAGTGAAATTGTTCAACTTATTTTAGGTCGCCGTAGATATAAATCAACTGTTTTATATAATAACAAGCGTCGGTGGCCGCAACGGTTTAGGCGTTGACAAGGCGCTCATCACTGTAAGGCAAAGGTCCCGAGTTCGAATCCAGCGGCCCTGCATCTGAACCCGACATACTTACAAATGGGCTTTTTTTTTTTTCAAAAATACACACCGAGGGTTAAAAAAACAAACAAGCGTCTGCAGGCATGAAATATTGATAAATTTACTCGGGAAACAATTTTTTAAACAATGCTATACTCTTGAAATAATAACATAATTGGTCTTAGATACCAATTCAACCCTACTAAATACAATAGCTAACTTTTCTTACAGTCTTGATAGTCTAACTCCTTAGCATGCAGCTTAATGACCATAAAGGACGATTATTTTTGACCAATTTGAACCAGCGTTAATTGAAATAGAAAATCCTTTTTTAAAAAGGCCAAGGATGAAGGATGAAATAGTTTACTTTGAGAAAAATCTCACGTACCTATCTCACGGCTGTTCTGTATCCTGTGAGCCTGCTCTTCGAAGAATCGGCCGGTGATTAGTTTTGACAGACAGGCCCTACTGTACAAATAATACTTGATCTGAGCCGGCTTGCCCCTTTGGCTTATTTGCCGTGTAAATGGACTGGTCGTGATTTAAAGCGATTTAATCATTTAATCAGACTCTATTGTGGAATCGTGACGCTACCGTACAGGCAGCGATAATGGGCAATTAGTCATGGAGCCCTCACGAATTTTCTCACAAGAGCCAAATCTGAATATTTGCGATTGTCGTGGGCGTTAGACCGGTTTTCTTTCGACCCTGAGTTCATATTATTATGGTCATTTGGCCGGCTCCTTTAATTATCCGTTTGAAATGGGAAGGATATTTATTTGAGAAATAATTCAACCTTCGGTTATAATCGAAATGGAATTTAATTTTTGGTTGAGGAAAAAACATTGAGTTTTTATATTGCACGACGAGTAAACGATTAAACTTAAATTTTAGTATAAGTTTAACAATGGTAGAAATCTGTAATATGTTTTGTTAAAATTTGTTATTTGTTAATTTGTTAAAAGTTTGTTATTACAAAAACAAAAACAGACCGTTAATTAAAAAAGTGCTTAATGATCAATTAATCATTATTATATTCAATAATATTGAGTTCAATGAGATTGGGTAATTATAACAATCTAATTCTATAAGCTCTTTGTTATTAATTTTTTTAAAAATTTCCGACAAAAAATACTGCTGCCGTGATAACAAAAATATCGTCGACTAAATTTGTCCAAATGAAATTCAACTTTTTTCTTAATTCAAGTGATCTTTGAGCAAATCAAATTGGACTTTTTCTTAACCCGAACGAACTTTGTCCAGATCGAACTGAACTTTTCTTCAAATTGAACATTTTCCCATCCAAATTGAAAATTTTCAAGTCAAATTGAATTTTTTCTTAGTCCAAAATGAATTTTTTGCAAATCAAATTGAACCTTTTTTAAAATCTAAATGAAGTTTATCCATGTCAAGTTGAACTTTGTCCAAATCAAATTGAACTTTTTCTTAATCTAAATTAACTTTGTCTTAATCAAATTGGACTTACACTAAATCGAATTGATATTTTTCTTAATCCAAGTTAACTTTGTCCAAATCAAATTGAACTTTTTCTAAACCAGACTGAACTTCGTCCAAATAAAATTCAATTTTTGCTTAATTCAAGTGATCTTTGAGTAAATCAAATTGAAGTTTTTCCCATCCAAATTGAAAATTTTCAAGTCAAATGATATTTTTCTTAGTCCAAATGAATTTTCTGCAAATCAAATTGAAACTTTTTAAAAATCTAAATGAAGTTTATCCATGTCAAATTGAACCTTGACTAAATGGAATTGAAATTTTTCTTAATCCAAGTTAACTTTGTCCAAATCAAATTGAACTTTTTCTAAACTAGACTGAAATTTGTCCAAATTATTATTATTATTATTATTATTATAATTTTTAATAAAATAAAAATTTTCCCATCCAAATTAAAAATTTTCAAGTCAAATTGATATTTTTCTTAGGCCCTTAGGCCAAGTGACATTTCTGAAAATCAAATTAAACTTTTCTTAATCTCAATGAACTTTGCCTACATCAAATTGAACTTAAATTATCGAATTGACATTTTTCTTAATCAATGTTTACTTCGTCCAAATAAAATTGAATTTTTTCCATCTAAATTGAATATTTTCAAGTCATATTGTCATTTTTCTTACTCCATGTTAACTTTGTCCAAACCAAATTGAACTTTTTCTAAACCAGTGAAGTTTATCCATGTCAAATTGAACTTCGACTAAACCGAATTGAAATTTTTCTTAATCGAAGTGAGCTTTATCAAAATAAAATTGAACTTGATCCAATCTAAATTGAAAATTTTCCAAGTCGAATTGAACGTTTTCACAATTAAAGAGAACTTTACCCAAATTAAATTGAACTATTTTTAATCCTACAAACCTTACCTACAAAATTTGGTTTGGAAGTTGATTTAGGATTTAGATTTTTTTTTCAATCTTTCCTGGTTTCCATTTATATGTGGCAATTATTATTTGATGGTTTTTATCTAATTTAGAGGTTCATCAACTCCATGAAATACTTTTATGAAAACAAATTTTGATTTACTGGTTTGTAAAAGTAAACATCTACACATCGATCCATTCTCATAAACAGACTAAACTTATTAGTAGACTATCTAATATAAAATAAATTTCAACGTTCAAATTTTAATACGGTTATTTTAACAGAAATGTTCATCTACACGA